AAGGCAGATACTAAACTCAAAAGTGCAACACAAAGAATGGCCGACCGGCAGAGCGTGACATGGCGGACCCTTCAGAACTGCGGAAGTGCAGCGCTCGGACAGTCGGAGGTGTGCACATAACAGAAAACTGTGATCTCTGTTACTGGCATTTCTGCGCTGCTGATTGAATGACCACGCTACTAAAATTTCACGCGGTCATCAATATGACTGCGACATTGATTTTCACCAGCACACCGTGCAGCAACACTCATCGCTGTTGTGGTTCCTGTGTGTAAAGCGAGTGTGTGTGCCAGAGAGCGAGCAGCAGAACGGGGAGAATGTGACGGTGAAAGTTAGTGGAGGAAAATATTCTATATATATTTATTATAAATATAAAGTTACTTAGTAAGTTGTCCGTCAGGCAGACATATGCAGTGTAGGTCACAGTGTGTCCATTAAGTCTGTTGTTTCCGCAACTGCTGGAAAAGTGAAGGCGGTTATCGCTAGCTAACAGATCCCCGGCCTGTAAAACACGGTTTTGGCTAATTAGTAACGGAGTAATGTTAAATAGTTGCGTGTCATTACTGGCTATCTTGTTGAGGAATGAGAACAGCAGGTTGAAGCTAAACTGGTGTCCTGTACACACACTGTACATCCTGATAGTTAAGTTAAATTATATTTCAGTGTCCAGAGGAGTTGGACAACTGGTTATTAAAGGAAGGACGCTGGTGACCACGGAGCAGCGGAGGCTAGTAAAGTAAATCTGGGATGTAAACTAGTCCTTTTAAGCAATTGAGGAGACATTTCTTTTGAATTTTAATGTGTAAACGAAATGCTTAGTAATTATCCAGAATTTGCACAGAAAAAAAAATGCATCAAGATGGATCACTGCCCTCTGAATTGTAATCAAATCGAATCGTGAGGTGCCAAGAGATTCTCATTCCTCTGCCCAAACAGTATTCCCATTCAGTTACTTTAAAATGTCTTTTAATAGGCTATGTTTTGTGAAGTGGTTGTCTTTAATCGTCCACTGCATCTGTTAGGGCCTGTCCATAGGCTCGCCATTCATCTGTGACAACATCTGAGCATCTTCTTACATGATGTTGGTCGGCAACAGGTCTTCTCTTGAGCGATCTTTCACCACCCTGAGAATGGGTGTCCTTGATTTAATTATGTTGTGTTTTTGTGCTAAACTGCAAAATGTTCAAAATTCATACAGATTGTTCATAAATGTTCATATTCTCCTGAACAGCCTATCGAAACTCTTCTTAAGAGCGGGCAGGAAACCCTAAACTGCCCCCCACACACGTAACCATGGCAACTGAGCTTCCTCTTTGTTTAATTACCTCACATCAAAGGATACTCTCCCATTCACAGCCAGATGCAAATTTCAGAAACTCCAGGACACCAGGAGGACAGCACTGAACTGTAAACAAAAGTACTCTCCTCAAAACTCAAAGCATTACCTTGTTTAATAAAATAATCTTTTAGTTACTTGATTACATTTTTTGAGTAGTTATGTTACCATTGGTGTAAAAGAATCTAAATAAGTTGCAGTTTTTTAATTTTCAGCAAGGTCACCTGACTTTATTCATTTTATTTGTAACCAATGCTTTGTTCACACTTCCTTTAGAAATGATGATAAAGAAATGTCACCCTATACTCAATTAATTTTCCAGCTTGAATTTAAGGTAAAAAATGACTAAATTCCCAGCTCCTAAGAAGATTGTTTTAGGATTAATCAGAGCTATTCTCATGTAACCCGAGCTTCCCCAAGTGGACAAAATAAGTATCACATGCCATCGTCTGAAATGCTAGCCTCAAAGTTGAACTACTGACAATTGTTTTCCTTTTATCAAGTGCTTAAACTAAGAACGGTATAACCATTTGACAATTAATTATTTGATTAAAATACACGCAAATGGATTTTCGATTAGACATATTGAAAGTTACGAAGACAGTCTCTCAGGCAAACTGAAGGCAAGCCCCCCCCTCTGGGGAACAAAGGACTGCCCTCTGGGAACCACGCCCCAACAGACAAAACAGCAAAACAGCGACACACGCTGTGTCGTTCTCTCTTGTCCTCTGCTTGTTCTTGACTCTCCAACTGCGCTTCGGCACGTGCCCAGCGTGCCCCCTCTCCAGCAACGCCCTAAGAACTTCGGCCCGGCACAACAAAGCCTTTGTCCGTTTGCAAGCAACACACGCGAAGTGCCGCGACATCAAGCTTTCCCTCGTTTCAGCAACCTTACTTGCATTTTATTTTCTTTGGTTTGTTTTGTTAAAAGTTATCAGTCCGTTAAGTTACACTAGTTTAAGTGAAGAACGACCAAGTTCTTTTCTTTTTTAAGCTTTATTCGTCGAGCTAACCCCACTGAGGTCGGACCCTCTCACGTGGCCCCGCCAGCAGTAACAAAGGACGACCAAACCTATGACCCGAGCCAGGGTTGGGAAAGCCCCCATTGCGAGTTTCTTCAGTAAGCCGACAAGACGGACCTCCGGAGCAATTCCCTGGCAGAGAAAGCGACTGGCCGATGGCTTTAAGCTGTCCTAACCGAGAACGCACGGATCTCTGCCAGTGTGAGGCCGTTGACCAGCACCAGGGAGAAGCAACAGGCAGTAAGACCAAAACCCTGCATTCTGTGTTCAGTGATGTCCCATAGTTGTTAATAGATTATATTTAACTTTTAAAACTCATAGCTCGCGTTCATTAGCTGCCCGTATGAGTCAAATGCTCCCCACAATAGAACCCACAGTCTCATTGTTTAGCCATTGTTTATTTCTTGGATGTATATTTTAACCACATTTTTATATTCACCTTAATTAGTTAATAAATTTCACTGTAACCAAAGGAATTGTGTGTATTGCCTGTCTCCAAGTCCCTGCCACGAGAATTTACCCCTTCGATATGAGACTGACCGACTGATTTATTTAAGATAATTGAGCGATTATTAACTAACTGATCACTAGTGAATAATTGTATAATTATTAAAGCCATACTCAGAGGTCCGGAGACTCTGGGCAAATTGGATCTCCGGTGGTGCCCCAAAGCGAGAGATTTATGGATTAATATTTTCTGAATATTAAAATTCATAATTTGGTATTAATTCTCATAAATTTATTAAAACATAGTAGTCATTTTTAGTAGAAAGTGTTACTGGTTTTTCTTCTAAGGTGTTAGTGAGTGAATAGTTTAATGTCCTCATAAAGCTTGGTGTCCATCTGACTAATGGCTGATAATTGTTAACTGGCAGCAAATGCTGCTCTGGAAAAGACTGAACAATGTGCTCAGACTTTCTCGTTCTGTTTAGGGGAGTTTGGCCACATTCCCCCCGTCCTGGTTGTTCTGTGAGAAAATAGTGCCATATTTTGTTTTGTCTATTTTTGAAGCCTTTTTCTTTCTTTCGGATAGCCGCAGGTTTCTGTTTGGCAACCTCTCTATGTTTCAATGGTACATATAGTTAGCTGTAGGGCTGCATGATTTAGAGAAAAAGTGTGATTATTGTGGACAATATTGCGATTGTGATTCGATTATAACTGGAATATAATATAATGGAATCTACTTGCTTGATTATCAAGGAAAATGCACAAATACTGACATGAAATGTGTATTTCTAACAATCTATATAACAATAACTAGTAAAATAGATGTGAAACAGAACAAGGGGAGGCTGTTGAATGGGTGATTGTATGTGTGACAGCCCCAGGTTTGGGACTTCCCTCAGTAAAAGACTTTGCATTATGTTACAAATCGCAGACAAAGTGGATATTTTACAAGCATGGACCAGGTAAAGCAACAGTGAACACACAGAGTGCAGATGTTGGTTTCGATCAATTGATAGGCTATGTCATTAACAAGCCACATGCGGCTCATCTGCTGCCGTGAAAACAGATCGTGGGTGGAAAATTCTGGAAAATAGATGAGGACTGTGTCTTTTGGGCAACTTTATAAAACATAGCCTACTGCTGATTCAGAAAGTCAGGGAGCAGACAGAGAGAGAGCAAGACAGACAGAAGAGAGGCAAGCTGGTGTGTAGGTAGGCAGGTATTTTTAAAAATAATAATGTTTGTGGGGATTAAATCTGCTTTCACAGGTGGTATAATGTGAAAGATTCAATATTGTGATTTTGAGCCCCAGGTTTGAAGGCTTAGGTCCTTCAATGTGTGCACCTGATGTTCCACCAGTCTGTAGGGGCTAGTGTCATCTTCTTCGCTGTGGTGTGCTAGGGAGGTGTCATCGGGATTTGTGGTGCCAACAAACTGGGCAAGCTGATGATGAAGGCCAGCTTGGTGGTGGGGATGGGACTGGACAGTGTGGAGACTGAGAGGAGGATGAGAGGAAAGCTGAAAGCCATCATTGACAACCCCTATAATCTTCTGTATGCTAAGCTGAGGCAGCTCAGGAGCACCTTCACTCATCCAGCCCTGAGCCTCAAAGCGCTTTGGAGGCTCATTTGTGCCATCAGCCATCAAGCTCCACAACGCGACAGCACCACCAAACTCACAGACTCTATATTTGACCCTATTCTGAATGTACCAGATGTTACACAATTATTGTAATTGTTGTTATTGTATATTGATTTTATATAGTGGGTATACAGTGTGTATATTATTTATAAATCTGTGTAGTATGCTGATTTCTACTTTTATTGTATTTGTTCTTTACATTCCTCTGTGGTGCTGTGCCAACATGATTTTCCCCTACTGGGCTTAATAATGTATATATATTATCTTATCATCTTATGTCCTATTTTAATTGTGTGTTTGCAGTTTGGATTTCTGTGATAATGGATCCAGCTCTCTTTTTACTTTTTATTGCAACTCACTGCCAAGGAAGAGGCATTCAAATACCAAATAAATTTTTAGATCCAACTTTTGGGTCTACATTAGGAATTTATCAGCAGTGCAGTGTTTAGTATAGGTGTCTCACAGATCAAGCATGGCATATTGTTAATATCAGCTTGTAAAATGTTACGCAACAAAAAACTATAATTTTCTGAGTGACACCATCACCAAGATCATGATTCTAACAGATAACATTGGGTTTATCTTTAATCACATTTGTTTTACAGATTGGAGGGTACGCAAATATTTTAAACATTTATGCATTGTACCTGCAAGCATTGCATAAAGCATTTCAAAAGTGTGACTATTTGCTATAAAGTGCTTTCAATGATTAAAGGAGACCTATTATCCTGCTTTTGAAGTCCTATATTTTAGTTCTGTGACTCCTGTATGGCAGCTTTACATGATTCAAAGCTCAAAAAATAATTTTCTCTCTTATTCTGGCTCGTCATGTAGGCCTTCATTTCAGCTTTTGTCTGAAACAAGCTATAGATGCTCTTGTCTCTTTAAGTCCCCCCTCAAAGCCCACTATCTTCTGATTGGCCAAGACCTGAAGCATGTTACCAGGCTGTTGTTGTTGCTGGGCATTGTAACATTGTAGATAAGTCATAAAATATGGAAAAGCATAATAGGTCTCCTTTAAGTACTTCATGATACAATAAAACAAAAACATAAAACATTGATATCTATAGGCTCACTACAAACATCAATTATCAAGAACCTGCCTTTAGGTGCTCCTCTGGTGATTTTAACATGACAGGAAATGTCCACAGACACATATGCAGCAGGAAGTGACATAATGTTGTTGTTTCTTTGAGAAAGATACAATGTAGAGATGAAGGACATTAACAAAACAAAGGCAATGGATATGATTTCTAAGATTTTCAAAGTACACACTGTTGTAGTATGGATCATACCTCACATTAAAATGTTCAGTTTTCATTGTTTGAGGTCCAGGGCTTTTGTTTAATGTGATCCTTCTCATCTCTTAATCAATCAAAGTAAAAGTGTATGAATCAAATGTGGGCTGAATAGCTAAATGTTTCACAAAGCACTGGCCAAAGTGTAATCACCATAATGATAAAAAAGACATTTCTTTAGATAAAAAAAAAAGTGGACAGTGTAGAAAGCCAAATGCATCCAGTGCATTATTCACTACAGTGCAAGCAAGTACAAATATATTGACAACAAACAACAAAACACCTTCATTAAAAGTGAATACACAGTTCAAATTGGCTTAAGAGTTGCAAAAAGAATTGGCTGGAGCATCTAACCGACTTCAATAAAATATGATATATAGAGAAATGTCATCTTAAGGTGCCTTTAGCAAAGGAATATCATAACATTTCCCTGTTTGTCGCTTTCAGTTTAAAACAAAAATGAATGAGGGCCATCCATTGGTGATAAAGCAAAGGTTTTAAAAAAGGCACCGTATTCATTCCAGCATTTTCTTTTTCTTTCACTTTCAAGAGTCTGTAATCATACCAATATACCTTACAACATATTACCTGAGTAAAAAATGTAATCCGTAAATCATATACAGTAGTAAACAAGCAGAAAATTAATACAAAATTAAAACAACGGAGCAATCCAAAAATCTGCAATAATAAGAGAGAATCCAATTGTATGTTTGACCAAAGGTTACATAGAATCCAAATATTTTTGGTCAGTGATTATGTCCACTGTAACCTCCATTATCAAATATTTAACATTTAACAATAAATATCACAAAATAGGGGTTTAAATCCAGAAAGCAACAACAAAGGTGTGAAAGGTATAAAAATAAATACAGCAGAGTCTATTAAAGGTGTTCCTTTTACAAATGTCTGCTCAGTTATTTGCTATGAATAAAGAGAGAAGTAGAAGACCTGAGTGGTTCCAGGTGCCTACGCATTGTGGTACCCGTTTTTGGGGAAACCTTTTTTTGGTGCTACATTCTCATAAATAGATAGTGCAGCTGTGTTTTGGTATATTAGATCCACATTGGTTCCAGTTCTTGATCTGATGATGTCCATGGAACACTGGTTTAAGAACACATACTGGTCCTGCAATGATATCAAATACAAACGTTCACTGAGCTGCAGCGTACATCATCTACAGTAAAAACACAGTGTATGTGACCGTGTCCTACCTCTGTCTGCACCATAAGGGGCCGGTGCATGCGCAGATCATGGACGATGCCAAACACATCCACAATATTTTCCCTTTCAATCTGGAAGATCAAACGGTCAATGGCTATAAAGGTACCTGTACGTCCAACTCCAGCACTGAGGGCAGACGATGTAGACAAACAGACAAGGGCGAGGAGAGAGAAAAACAGAATACCAGATGATTTTTTTTCTCAAACTGTGTGTCTGGCAAAAGTGTGTGTCTGTGTTCTGTCAGACCTGCAGTGGACCACAGTGGGAGAGTGTCTGGAGTATTGGTCCATGTGCTCTCTGACCAAATGTCTAAAGCTGATGAGGAGCTCAGTGGTTTCTGGGACCCCGTGATCTGGCCAGGCTGTGAAGTGGAAGTGACGCACTGAACGAGTCTCTGCTGTTTTCACCTGGAAGACAAACATGCACTTAAACTGTGACTGAGAAATCAGTGTATGACATTTATTGTATGATTTATTTAAATCACATACTCAGGTTGTGATGCCAAGAAATGTTTCAGTTATTGACAAGTTAGATCACAGTTCTTTGGCTCAGAAGGTACTAAGAATGAGAAAGTGCTTTATTTTCAGGAGTTTGCTTTGGTAATAAGGTGCTACATGTAGACAAACATATACATAAATGCAAAAATATATAAATTGACAAAATATAAAAATACAGAATAACAACGATTAACAATTAACAACAAGGGGGAGGGTGGGGCTGTGCTCTTTCTGAAGTCTAGTGCCTTCTCCACGGTCTTCAGAGCGTTGAGCTCCAGGTGGTTCTGGCTGCAACAGGTCACCAGATGGTCAATCTCCAACCTGTAGGCAGACTCATCCCCACCAGAGATGAGCCCAATGAGTATGATGTCCCTTCAGTAGCTTGACGGACTGATGACTGAAGGTGCAGCTGTTTGTGTACAGAGAAAGGAGCAGACGGGAAAAAATGCAGCCTTGAGGGGAACTGGTGCTGATGGTCCTGGAGTCAGAGATAACGTTTTCCCAGCTTCACGTGCTGCTTTCTGTCCGTCAGGAAGTCTGTGATCCACCTACAGGTGGAGTCAGGCACGCTCAGCTGGGGTTTTGCTTCCTTTCTGTTGACATCGCTCTCTGAGATGGGAAAAGGGGGGGGGGGGTGCTGAACCCCTCTGAGGAGGGGGAGGAGGAGATGGTGGACTGGGGCTGAATTAACTCTCGAAGCAGCAGTAGAACCTGTTCAGCTTATTTTCCAGGTGACGGTCATTGATGAAGTGAGGTGCTTTGGGGTTGTAGTTTGTGTCCTGTCTGAACCCCCTCCAGACAGAAGTGGCGTCATATGCAGAGAACTGATGTTTTAGTTTCTATTACAATCGTTTAGCTTCTTGCACCTCCTTGCTAAACCTGTACTTTAACTCACTGCGCCTGGCACTGTCTCCGCTCCTAAATGTTTCCTCCATTTCCAGCCTGAGCTGTCTGAGTTTGCTTGTGCAGGTTTGTCATTGTTATTTCTCATCCTGCTGCGTGATGGTACACAGCTTCCCTCGCAGAAACTCATGTAGGACGTCGCAGCATCAGTAACTCATCCAGACTCTTGGTAGTGTTGTGTACCCAACTTAATACTGAATTAGATGGTACATCCTGAATTTAATCACCACATGGAGCCTCTGCATTTACTTGCTTTAGATTATAAGATAATGCAGATTATTACAGCCCCTGCCTTCCCCTTATCTCTCTTGTTATTTCCTGTTTTACTAGACACATGACATCTGTAAACATGTTACATCCCTCCTTTTCATGGAAATAAACATATCCACTTAAAAAACACTGTACTATATTCTACATAAGTGGTTATAAACTTATTGTTATCCACCTACTATCTTTGTCTTAGCAACCGCCTTACCACTTGTGTCTCTTCAACCATATACAACACAACACACATCACTTCAACACAAAATCACAAAGTCAGGTGCCCTTTTGACCCTCTGAGGTCTGGTTATTGGCATGTCTAAAGTTTCCACATCCTGGGGTGGAGTCTGAATGTGTGTGTCTGTATCAAGTACCCTTTCCTCAGCTCCTAGTGTTTTCTCCTATGTACTTTGCATTTCATTTGGCTTGTCTCATCTTTTCTCATGTGTGTTGTTCCTCTTGTCTTTCCAACTTTATGTGGTGTTGCTTTGAATGGTGTGGTGAACTTGTCCACTTTGTCCTGCTCCAATGCCATGCCTCCAATCCACCTTTGTGTACTGAGCTCCCCTTCATTCATCAGCATTTAATTTTGCCTTTCCTTTCTGCTCTGCATCTCATTCATGCACCTCCAGTGTTGTTGATTCACAGATATCTGGCAACTTTCAGAGAGCAGCTCAGCAGGGCTTTTTCCTGTGGTGTAATGTACACAGTCACATATTTTCTTAGTTCACGTTTCCAGTCTAGTCCACCTGCTTGAGCAAACTTTATTCTCTTCATCAACGATGAATTTTGGCGCTCCATATGCTTTTCACAGTATTCCCTGAACGAGTCAGATTTGAACTGTGGTCCACTGTCTGATTTGCAGGTAGTCAATAACTGCTGAAGATGGCCTGAAGACTGTCGATGATGTTTTCTGCAGATGTAGAGGTCAGATCATCATACTGATAATAGCGACTGTAATAATCTACTACTACCCCGAGTTGAAAATTTTCAACTCACGCGGCCTTCGCGTCGGCCCCTCCACACCACCTGGCAGGAAATTGCGTCTCTCCGTGTCTTTGCATTGACTTTGTATAAACCCCGCTGCCCACAATGCTTGCTTTGCTTTTGGTCTGAAAGCACCATTAGAGTGAATGAAGCAAACTCATGGGGGGAGTAAAGCGGTTTACAGTTTATGATAAAGTATTGTCCAATAATTCCACTGATCATGCGAGAAAAGTGGGAAATAAATTTGCTGCTCTGATGTTCACATACTCTTCAGTGGTGAAAGAGTCCCGGGAATCACAGCCAAAAACTGAGTTAACACACAAAAACAAAACAAAACATCTAATGCCGAGTTAACTATATGCTGCACCATCTTGGACATCCTAAACTGAAGCACAAAACTTTTTTTATTAGAATTTATTGTTTGCAAGAATTCATGTTTTAATGTAATGTGCCTTTTCATCAAACTAGGGAGTACAGAGAGGCAGCTCTCGGGTAAGGACTTACTCAAAACCCTTGATTCTCAGCCTTCTTATCAGTCAGCTAACCAGCAACATGCAAGTGTCTCCAGCCTTCTGTCTAGCTGCATTCCCTGAACCCCATGAGCCTTTGATAGAAAAGTCAACGAGCCACCCTGATGTCCACCGGTCACCTTTTGGGACTCGTCTGGCCATTTTCTGGGGGTACGATGGAATCCCCAACAAAAGGCGTGGTCCCCATAGCTCCTGTCATCTGATGGATCTCTCAGCGCTTCTGTGCCACAGTGTCTTAACCACCCAGCACCACAGAACTTCCACCAGTCCTGTCTGGTCCCCATTGGCTGCACAGTCGAAAATATGTTCCTGCTGAGCTGCAGCCATTTCCTGCTGCTGAGCTGCAGCAATCCACTGTTCCTGCTGCTGTTCTTTCTAGTGATAGCCCTCAGGCCGCCCTCCTGAAGTCTTCTGCACCACCTGTTCTTGAGTTCCTAGGCCACTTGCCAGATTGTTGGTTATGTGGTTACATATGCCTTTGATGTGGAGATCCACTGCAACACATCCACCAGTGTGTCCTTAAGCAAAACACTTAACCCCTAGTTGCTCCAGAAGCGTGCAAACTCTGACATATATAGCAATTGTAAGTCACTTTGGATAAAAGCGTCAGCTAAATGAATGAATGAATGAATGAATGTTTATGTTATGTTACACTGTGCTCATATTTTGGATTCCTGCATTACACAGTATTTTGACTTTTTTGCCTGTTTTATTGGACAATGTATTTACTGGATTCGTTTGCTTGTGTTGGACTTCTCTCTGGTTTTGACCCTTGCCTGCATCACCTTCCCGTAAGCCTTTGTACCTCCTATTTGCACATAAAATGCACTACCTCTGCCTCAGTCATCTACATTAGGGTCTTTCCCCTGTATTCCTGTTACCCTGCTTGCACCAGCTGTGGCAGTGTTAATATTGAAGTCTTGATATGTAGTACTCCAAACTAAAGGTGATAATAAGCACTGATGTGTTATTGTGTGTGTTACTGTTGATTTTTAACCTTTGCATGATGTAACATCTTGCACTTACATTTTTAACACTAAAGTCCCTGATGGTCCAGTCATCAAGTGGTATTTCAGAAGTTGTTGTCACAGTGATGCTGTCAAAGTGCTTGGTCCCAGAAGCCCAGTATTGCTCACATTTTACCTGGGAAAGAGAACAATCATTCATCATTAAGTACTCAGAATATAGTAATGATCCGTATTCAAGCTACATATTTAGAAACTCCAGTATTTACAGTAAATATATTAGTATATTATAAGGAGAGATTTAAGTAAAATTTTTAAAAAGCCAAACCCCCTCCATCGTCTGTAGAGTGCAGCAAGAGTCTGATTAATAGTTGAACCTTACACTACATTAGGATGGACCACACACTGAGATCACATAAGAGTTCGGTGCCTTCAGACCATGTAGATATTGATATTTTATGGTGATGGTAAGAGTTTAACAGTGGCTTTATGTAATATAAAGCAGATTGTGTCAAGCAGATATTCCGTGTAATCTGAAGTCTCTTCCCACCAGGGATGCACGGAGAGAACGTTTATTTATGCCACTGGCTAAAATAAAGAAATAAAGCAACTAAATCCAGAATTTTGAACATCTGTTTTTCTGCACATGTAGCGTATTTATTATAAGGATTTTTACAAAACATTACGTTAACGCCCCTCTCTCCCGACCAGTCCAAGCATCACTGGCAGTAGCTGCCGGAGTTCCCCTTCGAGGGAACTCGAACTGCGTCGGTGACGACACTGTGGGAACGCCTCTGGGCATGGCAGGGCTGAACTATGAATGAAACTACTCCAATCATATTGGTGTTACTAGAACGGTAGTGTGTGACGGCGTAACCGGAGGGGGTATATAAGCACGCCGGCACATAGGACACATTAGTTTCTTTCTATTCAGCAGGCACTCTGGCTATGTTTGGAAGCGCCATCATCCTACCTGAAGTCGAGACGAAGCAGATCATGTCGAAGCGATTCCGACAGTGTGTCTTTCCATGTGAGCGTTGGTGTTGACGTGGGCTGTGGCCAAGCTGCACATTGATTGGCCACAGGCGGTGCAGCAACCATCGGTGGGCAGCAAACTAGACGAGCGGTTTCTTCTCGGGGAACAAGGGTTACATACGTAACCCGAGACGTTTCTTTTTGTAAGTTTCACGTTGCTGTGCTGTTTCAGCAGATGCTTTAATAAATCAGATGTAGAACTGTTTGCGGTTGAAACCTTTTTCGCACAGAGTTTACAATAGATTACAATGTTCTTTGCATCTTAGACTGTGGCACAATAATGGCAGTAGCTACTTACAGCTGTGGAAAGAACGCCTCTTTCCCTATTTTTTATCAGCGGACATGAACAGCAGAAGGTCTGGTGCCACTGACATGCTGCACAGTCGTGCATTCACGTAAGGGATGGTGCGTTCAGTAATGCAGCCTTACTTGGATTAGTAACTGTAACAGTATTACTGTTTTAGAAAAGTAATTCATTACACTACTAGTTACTGGGAAAAGTAATAATATTAGAGTAACGACGTGTTACTGCCCAGCACTGCTGTTGAATCACCCAGAATATGATTATGGTGTCTTTTGAACACTAAAAATGATTTATTAGGCAGAATGTTGCAGAGAAAACTGAAATTATGTAACTCATATCACACGGACTCTTAGGAATGATCTGCCTCACATGTGACTGAACACATCCATCCTTCTTTAATTATATCCATAATAATTGTTAATTGGGGAAAAGAAAAATCGAATAAATTAAGAAAGTTGTTTGTGTTCCTTTTGTTGTCCAGACCTACAATGAACACACATTTTTAACTAGATAGTGAATTAGAAAACAAATCAAACATAAACCTTGCTGATGGATCCTCAGAGATCCCTCCTCGATCTTAAGTGTACAAATAAGAGCTTTGGGTAGGCCTTCCACATGGCGGAGCAGAACGACTTCCGGTTCAAGTGAGGCAATAACTTACAAGAAACTTGGGTTGTTCCAAGTTTTCCCATATATGTAAACATGGCATGTTGCTGACAGACGTGTTTGTACTCACTCGTCCCTGTTCATTGCAGCGTGTCAGCATGACCACCGTGCGTACATTCTTCTCCCAGATCATCCTCCAGAACTCGTTGACTGTGGTGGGCAATGGACCCTGAGCTGCAATAAACTCCTTCTTGGAGTTGTAACCCTGCCAAATAAAACATCAGCCCAGCCACACAACACAAACATCCATCCTGTTCAGATTTTCTAGGAGTTTCTTGAGTGTTTCGAACATCAGTGTGAATGAAAGTGGAATAGTTTAAATAGCATGTTGGCATTAAGCAAAAGAAAGAGCAGTTATGTTGTCCAGCAGGATGTTTACTGATACTGAAGCAGTGACTGAGGCAGAGCACTGCTTGAAAGAGTGTCAGTACACACCGGCATGTAGTTAGCATTGATGTAGTCATCATATGGACTTCCATGGATAATAGAGAGTTTCACTCTCGAAGAGTCATCTAAGAGGCGAGAAAAGAGGGTAAATGAAAAAAAAAGTCTACGTGTAAAATGGTGTGGCTGCACTGACGCTCACTTTTTTGCAATATGAAAGAATCCAAATTAATGAATAACTGCCTTGAAGGATGTCGGATCATTTTGATTTAATGTCCCATTAAAATGGGATAATGTTAATAGGCACAGTATGAGAGGCAGTATGAGAGGCAGTGTTATCCTTGTATAGAGGTGGGTTTGTTTAGGTGACTCACAGGGAAGCACGTTGTTGTAGCGGTTCTTTGGCTTGTTCTCCACAGTCAGAGCACTTGCTTTCGACTGAACTGTGCCAACAGGCTTCAGGTCCTTTAAAAGAAAAGGTGGAAAGTGTGATTGATTGGTGATTGTATGGCTCGCTTTATGGCCAAAATCTGGTGAATGTGCATTTACCAAGAATCCAAGTGTGATCTTTGACAGTGCTTTTAAATTTGAAAAAGTTCTGTTGTAAATGCCAGTTTTTTTTTTCAGCTGAGACTATTGGCTAAGGTGAAGCCCTACCTGCCACGCAAAGACTTTGAAAGAGTAATCCATGCATTTATAATGTCTCAACTAGACTACTGTAATTCTTTGAATGTTGGAGTGGATCAGTCATCTCTCCATCGGTTACAGTTAGTCCTGAATGCAGCAGCTTGACTTCTAACTGGAACTAAAAAGAGTGAGCACATTACCCACATTTTAGCCTCACTCTACTGGCTTTAGGGTTGATTTTTAAGATTTTATTGCTTGTTTTTAAGATTTTAAATGGGTTGGCACCTTCTTAATTATCAGAATTTTTACATGTACACACCCCTGTCAAAGCACTGAGGTCATCCAGTCAGATGCTCCTCAATGTCCCCAGATCCAGGTTAAAATCTAAAGGTGACCCAGCCTTTTCAGTGGCTTCTCATAATCTTAGGAATACTTTACGTGTTGAAATAAGAATTGCTCGGACTGCTGACACTCTCAAATCCTTGCTAAAGACCCACCTCTATTCACTGGCCTTCAAACAGAGTAGAGTATTGACATAATTGACCTTTTCTACTGTTTTTGTCGTGTATATTTGTTGTGTATTCTGAACCTGGAAAGCACTTTGGTCAACTAGGGTTGTTTTTAAATGTACTATATAAATAAATAAACTTGAACTTGACGGAGATGAGCACAGATTACTTAAAACTTTTGCCATCACATTGTCAATGATGCTTTTGTTGCCTTCTACTGCAATTGGATCCTTGCAAGCTTCCCATTAAATGCTGACTATTACACAGTTGCCCCAATAGAAATCCCATTTTTTTATCCCACTTTTAATGATCACAAATATTATTAGAAATTTTAACATTGAATTTTAAGAAATGATGAGCTGTTGTAACATTTACATGTATCATATTGTAAAAGTTATTACACTACATGAATCAATCTACCTGGAAAAAAATACAGAATATATTATATAATGACTGATATATAACAAATAAGAAGCCCTCAACTACAGCTCTTATGTTTCACCTCAAACTCTTCAGCAAAGCCGCAGTTGGAGTCAGCTTTCTGCTTCTTGTAGTACGCCTCGTAGTCCTCCACCCTCACAGCCACACTTCTGCTCAAATGGACACCAGAGGTCAGACAAGAGTAATGTGTTTTATATAGAAAACAAACTGTCGCTGGATTTCTGTACATTTCAGTCTGTTCCCACCATAATGTAAAACATTTGATCGATTGTGTTATACTTTATGATTCAAAGGATACTTACACTTTAGCTCTGGAAAAGGAAAGAGGAAAGAGCAATGTTGACACACAGTTACAGAAACAGTTGTTGTCTATTTACTTTACTTATAATGGTAACGTGGTAAAAATTAAAACCTTACCTCATGGATTGAATCTGGATGTCTGTTGTTTCTTTCGTGGAAAACCTACAGTGAATAATTGTGAGTTTAAAGTTTAGACCTATACAAACTGACTTAATAGTAATTTTTATCAATTATGACAATGACCAGTGGTGGAAGAAGTATACAGAGCCTTTACATAAAATAAAAGTGCTAATACCACACTGTGAAAATACTCCTCTACAACTAAAAGTCCTGCATTCAAACCTTAAGTATGTATGTAAAATCAGCACAATGTATCAAAAGTAAAAGTAATTATTGTGCAGAAAAATGTTCCCTGTCAGTGTTTTACTATTTTATAAGATGTTTCTGGATTCATGTTCCTGCTACATATGTGTATGTTCTATTTTACTGCAGTACATGTTTAATGTTGAGCTCATTTTTAAGTACTTTGTATACTGATAGGTAGTTTAATTCAGACCATCATATTTTGTAGCATTTCTGTCCTGTGAGAACCATGTATTTCTAAAGAGTCAACATGAGCTCAGAAAAACAGCAATGTTTTGCATTTTCCAGGTGATCCAAGGGGGCTTTAAAAAGTTTATTTATCTTAAGAAGTAGAATTTTCTCAAAGCATAGAGGAACACTTCATCCTTCAATTTATCAGAAAAACTGAAGTTCACCAAATTTGGTGATATTACTGGACAGGAAGGGTACGAAAAAATGTAATCTATAAAGTAACTAGTACATAAATCTCTCAGACAAATTTAGTGGAGTTGAAGTACAATATTTCCATCTGAGATGTGGGGAAGTAGAAGTACAAAGTTGCATAAAATGTAAATACTCAGGTACAGTAATTGAGTAAATGAACTTAGTTACATTCCACCACTGAAATGACAAACCTTTTCCAATAGATAATGAAGCCGATCAGGACGATGAGAACGCAAACAAATCCCAGTGTTGCTCCAATAGCAATGCCAATTGCTAAAATGTTGACAAAGGTTAAAAAAAAGAGACAAAGAAAAAGGCCAATGAGCATTTCATCATTTGCATTTCATAGCAAAAAAAAACTATGTTTTTAAATGTGGTACCTGGGTTCATTGGGAGTTCAATAACAGGATAGAAGTTTGTTACTGAGACCAATGACAATGAACCATTCACAAGCGTGTTTTGCACAGTCAGACTGGTGAACAACACAATAGCATATCTGTAGGATTGAACAAATTAGTGGTTTATATACATTTTACACTGTGACTTTTTTATTTGCTCCTAATCTCTGTCATTGCATATCTAGAAATAGCTGATGCTGTAATATTTGCTGGATTATGTAATGATTTATCAAAGAATAAATGGAACGTCAGTCTAGGTTAATATTTCTGCCTATAAAACACAAGTAACCAGATTTTGTACTATTTAAATTATGACGAATGACATCCTCCCTAACATAAACTGTTTAAATACATTTATTTAAATAAAATCATTACTTAGACTGAAAATGTAAAAGCAATATTTACAGTAAACACTTGACTGACTGCTGAAAAAACACATACATTATTTGACTACATAAAAAGTACTAGTAGCAGTTCATGTACTAATGCTTTCACAGAATACAGCAATAATCAATAAAGAAGGTAATCTTAATACATTTTCACAAGTTATTGTATCATCAACAAGTTACTTCTGTATATTATATGCTGCTGCACACCCATTCATACACTATATAATATGGTTAGTGGTCTTACTGGTATTTTCGACTGGCGTCCAGAGCACCATTAATGTAGCCCTCCCACTGAGATCCATCTCCTACTTGTATGCTCAGAGGATTTTCTTCGCTGCGTGTTTGGATGGTCTTTTTGACTGTTGCCAGGTATCTTGGAGTACTCCCTGCCTTCCACTCATAGTAAGTGTTCCCCAAGTACTTTGTAAAATCAGAAGTGTCATCTGGATGGACAGGAAATGAACGAAAACAGGAAATGGCTTTTGACAAGAAAGTTCTTGTCAAGAGTCTAATTTATTTTATCATGTGAAACAAAAACAGTTATAAATACATACATTGATGTCATGGACAATAAATATTCACCTCAGCACTAATAGATTACGATAGCATGACACAGTTACAACACTCCCTGACATTTAGAAGAGAAAAAGAAACCCACCAGAGAGATTACTTGTCATCAGCACCCCAACATGTGTGATTGGCCCACTAGTGTTGTTCAGCAGGCTGGAGTCAATCTTAAGAGAGAACTTGTTGTATACCTTTTCACTCACTCTCACCAATGACTCAAAGTTATCTGGAATGGGTGGAACTGTGAAAAAATATGAAAGAGAAAAGATTTGATTGAGAAGTTTTGTCCTCAATACTGCAAAAAGAATGCAATGATGCAAATATATCCGTTTCTATATTGATGTTTTTCCCCAATAATATCATTATCTATGCTAAACAACACAAGGCAATCTGTTGTACTTGAACCAGAAATACTGTCAGCTACAGATCAATCAAGGAACTGACCACAGATACAGTATTTGAATTAAATGGAATGAGCATCTGAAATGATCAGACATCTTTGAGCATTGATAGGTTCTCATTAGCAACCGCATATAACACCTTGCTACATGTTTCTCAAACACTTTTAGAAACTTGTATTTAAATATGTTTGGACGTATAATCAATGGTTTACATTCACAGTTATTTAATTACAGTGTTCACAAAACACAATGTCCTACTTGTGATGCCTGTACTGCAGAGATAAGAAAAAGGGGTGCTGGAGCTTCCACAGCTCTGAGTCTCCACAGTCAGATTGTACTCAGTATGGTGACGGAGGTTGGAGAAAGTCTGATTACAACAGGATGATGATAATGTGTTGATGATCTTGCCATCCTTTATTGCAGTGACCCGGAAGTCAGAGTATTGGCCCTTGGGCCAGTTCCAGGACAGGATGAGTTCTGCGTTTGTTGTGTTCGGACCAGTACATTGAACGGTTTCCACGGGACTTGCATCTGCAGCATCAAACAGAATGAATGTCAGGAAAAACATGTTTTTTCAGTGTCTGCAGGTGATCAAAATCTTTGGAATACTGACCAGAAATATCAGCTATATCAAATATTGTGACAGACTTCCATTTCATTACTTAAACATTTGTGACCAGCTGTCATTAACCTAGGTTAGTTTAACTGCAGCAGGGATTAATTTTTTGATCAATAGAAAAATCAATAGATAGAAAACAAGAAACAATTACTAAATCATTATTAGACAACCTGAAATTACTAAACTAAAATAAACTTTTACAATTTCCATGCATGCACAGTTGAATGAGGGAATCATTTCGAAATATCTGATTGCAAGTCTATATGAAATTAAAATGATCTGTTATGACCATACCTGTACAGCAGCTAGTCGAATTTGGAGCACTCTGTGTTCCATCAGAGGTCTGTGTGATGACATTAATGATATAGGGACTGCCAGGTATCAGGTCCCTGATATTATACTCGGTTATATTAGTTATGTTACTATTAATGGACCCATCTGAGCTTTGCCAGGTCAAATTGTAACGATAGCTTTCCTTGTATTCGTCAGGTTCTTTCCACATGACTATGATGTTCTTCTCTTCTGTAGTAGCATTAACAGACCGCACACTGAACGGTCCTGAAAGTTTGAAAGAGATTTGAGAGATATAAAAGTTACCAGACAGTAAAGCTGAAATAGGAAAGTGCTTGAGCTTGCACATTGAGTACAGAAATAAAATCCTTACTTGTGGTGACCATGGGGATCTGAACCTTCCCACTCTCAAAACCCATGACACCCACTGTTGCCACGTAGATGTTGTAAGAAGTCCCAGAAGGCAGTGGGGCAAAGGTATAATTGGTGGTGGTGGTGGTGGAGATGTTTTCCCTTCCCTGTTGGGTTGTGTAAGTCAGCTGGTAGAAGAATGATGCACCAGTCATCAGAGGAGCGTCCCTCCACCTGATGGTGATGGAGCTGGTTGTTTTCGTCAGGACCTCAACTGGCCCAGGAGCGTTAGGGACTTAGAGGGGAGGAATAGCACAAAATGAATGTCAACAAGCAGAGTGACATCATTCTAAAACTTCTTCATAGCTCACTAAAATATGAATGTACAATGGGCCATGCTGAGAGTGTTGCCTGGTTTCTATTACGTATAAAACATAACAATTTTACATTACTGTGAACCATTTTCCGAAGCATACCATGACTTTTTAGTTGCCCTCACTACCACTTCACTACGATATAGTATCAACTTGCAGACATTTAAATTTTGCTTAAGACAGGTAAACTTCATTGCCTTTAATTATTTGGAGAAGCTTTTTAATAGAGGAAGTTCTGACATGTGAGATTTAAGATTTGGCTGATGGTGAAGAGCAACCTTACTCATTCATAAAAAGACATCACAGTCACATGATCCTGTTGACTACATCCATGTCTTCCTGTTTGTTTGATTTTTCTACAACACAGATTGTCAATGCAAGGTCTGTCAGCAGCCATGTAGTGCAGTCCTCAACAGATGAAATATAACCATACAGTCAAATATTTCTTTTACCAACTGTTACAGCTGTATGTGTCTCTCTGTGCTTTCTCTATGTTCTTTTCTGCCCTAGTTCTGCCTCTTAAGCACTTCAGCTGATTGCTGATTGAGGGCCACCTGGCCTTGGAAGGCGGTCTTTAAAAGCTCCTGTGCAAGCGTCAGAAAGGAGGCTTCTTGATTTGGGACTGCTGGACTTGCTGCCTCTCAGCTGGGGCATTTTTGTGCTATCTTCTTGTGTTTTTGGTGTTCTTAATTTATCTTCTTGTTATGTTAATAAATTCCCTTGATTTGGTTGTTTTAAAGGTGTTTATATGTGTTAAGTTTGGGTCAGTGTTGGGGTGTTGTTCGCCCCATGTTGCCACCAAAGGTTGCGGCGTAACACAATCAACAGTTGACATAATTTTTTTTTCTTGTATTATTGTCCTTCCGCATGATGGCGACCATCAAGGTTTAAACATCAGCTATGCTTACAACTGCAGCACCACATTGTGAGACATGTAAACCCAATTATAATAAATAAAGGCAGTGGAAAAAAAAAAAATCTAAACAGAATTTTAAAATCTAACACCTTGATACTTACAAGTTGCATTAGTAATTGATGCAGATGATGCATTGAAGGGTCCACTAAATGTGGTTACCACGACAGAGTAAAGTATTCCAGCGGCCAGGTTCCTAAACAGCCAGGAGGTACTGATAGAGTTCAGCACTAAAGCTGTGGACGTCCCGTTTAGATAAACATTATAATACTCCACCTTCCCAGGAGGTTTGGTCCATGACACCAGGATTGAACTATTGGAGCCCTGGCTGGAGATCCTGGGTTGCACTGTCCCAGGCTCTGTTAATGTGTGGGGAGAAGGATTAAAGCTCAGCAACACTGACAATTTGAAATAAATAAAGAGAAATGACAGTAAGAGTCTTACGAGTGTACTGAGAGGTGCAGTTTGCCTGCCCTTCGGTGCCATCCACTGCCCTGACATAAACACAGAAGGTGCAGTTGGTCCCAGGGGTGAGCTCTGAGATCAGTGTGTCTTCTTCTGCGACGGTTATGTTTTTGGAGGCACAGCCTGTAGTCGTAACCGTATATGTGTATCCATTCTTGTAATCCAGCGGTTTCATCCAAACCAGATGTATAGCAGTTGAGTTTAAGGTTTCCACCTTGGACCAGCTTGTACTATATGGCCCTACAAACAGAGTAAAGGAAGTTTCTTATGATTCAACACAAATCACATAATCTTCTTTCATATTATGACAGTCTATCAAATGAGCAGCACTGACCTCAGTACAAAGGCTACATATACTAAACACATGTAGTTGTATATACTGTAGTTATTTTTCTCATTTAGCTTGGGGTTCATTTAGCTACTTCCCAGATGTAAAGACAGTATTTTACATACGTGTAAAGTACCACACTGTCACAGGAGCTGCCTGAGTGCCATCTGCTGTCTGAGTTGTGACGGTGAAGCTGTAGTTGCTACCAGAGAGAAGTCCAGTGATCGTGATTGAGGTATTCAAGACTGCTTTAGATGAGCTAAAGGAGCTGTTGGAGACCTGCACCACATATGAATAGTAAGATTTGCTCTCCTGCTGCTCCCACATCAAGGTCACTGCATTTGTGGTGATTCCTGCCTGTGTCAGCATGGTTACAGGATACGGTCCTGAGAAAGGGAGACAGATGGAGCAGGTATGTGTTTTTCTTTGTCAGATTTGGGCAATATAGTATAAATAGGGTCTGTGGTTTACATATAAAGATTTAGAAGTCAATATGCTGTGTTAAATAGTCACTTGGTGCTTCTAAATGGCCTTGATATGATAAAACTCACCAATGTGGTTAATAAAGGAGCTAAATAATATCACTATCAACATCAGAATCTGTCAGAATCTAATTGAAAAATTGTATTTAAATATATATGTTTATATATTTAACAGTTTTCTTTCTATTTTTTTTTTTTTTTACAAAGCCTTATAATTATTTTGCAGATACTGTTGCTTGCAAACATATACAAAATATCTGTAACCTATCACTATCACAGTATATTGCAAAAATAGTAATAATGCAATGATAACCCATACCAGAGAAAATTAAGTCTACCGGTAAACAAATAAGAATACTCAAACATCACATCCACAGCCCTGGTATGATCATGTTAATCACACTCACTGGTATAGTTTTCTGCTATCACTTCTGTGCTCTCATAGTTCCACACGCCTACTGTAACAACAGATATGTTGTAGTAGCTTCCAGACTTAAGTTGGCCAGCAGGAACCAGTTGTTTTTAGTTGAAAACAAGCCCATAAAGCTGGACACAGTGAAGTTGTACTGATTATAGTCCATGTCCTCTGGAAAGGGCCAGGTAAAGTTGATGGACTCCACAGTCTGAGATGCCACCATGATGGGACCAGGAGGGTTGGGAACTGAACAGGAGAAGGAATACCATTTCATTAGTGCTCAAAATATTTCCTAAATACATGCAGTACATGTAAATTGTATATTGAGTATGCACAGGTTTATAAGGCTTGATGTCAATGTAACTCACAGGTTGCATTGCAAACACGTGAACTGTTTCTGTAAGGTCCACTATTGGTGACCACGGCCACACAGTAAAGCACTCCTGGTTTCAGGCCCTGAAACAGTTTGTTTACGGTAGTGTTGCTCAGATTTGTGTAGTTTCTTTCCAATGAGTTGTTTTTGTACAGCAGAACATCGTATGAGGCCACCTGCCCAGATGCATTATTCCAGCTCACTGACATGTTAGATGTGCTTCCTATGGCTACGATGCCAGAAACTACATCAGGCTCTGTAAAAAAAAGTAGTATACATTAGATAATCTGTTATGGCCTTCTTCATCTTCTCTGGAGTTCATGGTGGATCGCAATCAACTCGTTTAGGTGCATACTGCCACCTTCTGTACCGGAGTGTATAATATCAAGGCTTTACGTACTTCATTGAAGCAGGAAGCTTCCAGTCAGAGAACTGATGCGACCGCGAAGTCCCTTAAACCTGCATTCTATCGAACGGCCAGCAGGGGGCAACTCTTCTGGTTGCAAAAAGAAGTCCGGTTCCATTAGAAATAATGGTAAAATGACCCTACTTCTCAGCTGATTTATTACCTCAGTAAACACTTTCATAATAAGTTTATGGTCTCAATCGCTAGTTTCAAGTCTACTTCAATACAACATGATGTTCATTTAGTAAATTATGGTCCCATTTAGAGGAAAATCGACCATAAAACAGAGTATGCTTCAGGGCAGCATTATCTATGACTAGCAATTACCATGATGACCTGTCAACAAGGCTAGAGTGATTCGTACCCACTGCACTGTGTAAATTTAACCAGCGCCGTTGAAAAAGCTTATTAGGAGTCGACTGTTCATTTTCTCATTTCATTTTGTTCATTTTATATTTAGTTTTAAGACTGTTGTTCACTAGAAAACAGCTGGTTGGTGGTTGTTCCCTACCGGCCAAAACTCGAGGCGTCACGATGACTACGTCCACTTCTTATATACAGTCTATGACTTCATTACACTAGGTTACTACATTAAAATAAAACCATAAATAAATAAATACATAAAAACAAAACAAAACTGAAGATTGAAGAAAATTAAAGACAGCTTTGCATCACTCCCTTGTTTCCTCACTCATGGTAATTGTCAAAACAAAGCGTAACATTGTTGACCTTGTCCTGGAGCTGTATATCCACTTCCCTCTAGGACCATTTTTAACTCATGTAATGAAAAGTCTGTGTCAAGAGCCAGTCCATAATTATCTTTTTTCTTTGTTACATCACAATTTGTTCTTAAAATATAATTTTCCTGTTGTTTGTGTATTTTGTCTAAATGCTCCCATAGCTCTCTTTCTTTGATAATCAATCAGATTAATATTACATCACCCTCCATCGATATTCTTTCAGTATGCTCACTACAAAGTTCTCAGAATTTTTCCAAAGTCAGCGTTAGTAACACACCATCTTACTATTACATAAGCCTCCTGAACATACATATTGTTAAAGAATATTATTAGGTGTCTTAATTGGTGTAACAGGGAAAAGTAAGACGGGTCTAGCTTAGAGACATTAGCTGACCCTACAAGTGTTCACTGACCTTCCAGCTCTAGTTATTTCTCACATGCACCTGTCCTTGTTAGGACTGATAAGGTAGAGACAGTAGGCGTCATGCTAGCATAAATCCGTGTTCTGAGGAATCTTACAAGGTTGAGTCTTACAAGAGTGTTTACAAGAACTGACTCACTGACTCCACAGATTAGAGTACAACTCATGGATAGAATAGATTCCAATATGACGAAGCATTGGAGTCTAAACATCAGATAGATTAGTTGTTCTAGGTTTAAGACCAACTAAAGATGACCTAATAGGGAAACCTACAGGCACAAGGGGGAAGACAAAAATTTGTTACCCTTCAGATTTGGTGTTGGCATTCGATGTGTTCACATGTTTGCTGGCACTGTATCTCCTCAGCCGGACTCAATAAACCATGCTATGTTAAGTCTTCATCAGTCTCTGAAACTTCTTCACACCTGAACCTGTCTCACAATATATCTTTACATTTAATTCACATAAATTACTCATATTTCCAGAGACTAAAGTAAGATCTATACATGAAACTGATTTTCTTGTAACATTAACCCAGGTACCTCTTACATCATTAAGGCAAGAAAGTGATCTCTCCTCACTTCCCCACAGAGTATTCTGAGCATTAAAGTCTCCACCACATATTTCTCTTCTATCAACACTTTCTGAGATCTCACAGAATGCTTGCATTGATAATTTGGATTGTAAAAATGTACTACTTTGATTTCCTCTGGGACTACACATTTCTGCTACTACAAATTCATACTCATTTGGGAAAGTTACACTTCTATATTCTGAAATATCCTTAATAAATCTTACACATCCTCCACCTTGTTTTCCAATTCTGTGACATCTAACCGAGCTGTAACCTGGTAGGACAAAATCCAAGTGTGGTCTTAACCAAGTTTCTTGTACACACATAACATCAGGTCTTACTTTCAGATCAATTACAACCTTCTTGAGCTCTTGTCCATTAGCAATTAAACTTCTGGCATTCCAGTGGAGGATATGAAATACCATAATGATGCTAATCACCCTGAAACCATCCATCATAAGTGGACGGGTTCAAGATCTCATGTATCAGTCCAGCTGTAACTTCTTTAATCCCCAGTATCTCTATAGCTGCCTCTACAATTGTCTTGATTTTATCACATTTTTTCTTTTTCTGTATTGCCACATTCACAGTCTTACAGATGAAAGCAACAAAGTTGGTTTTACCCACAATCAGTGTATCTTCATTCATCTCCTTTGTCCATAGATTTGTTTCTGTTTGCCTCTGACTTGGCATCGGAGATGAAACATCTATTACTCTTCTATTATCTAACTCTTTTGCTCTATTTACAACTACTACTTTATATTTCTGTAATTCTCTAGCTTGCCTTTGAACAAGGCATCCTCCAAAAGCAGCACTATGTTCACTGCCACAATTGCAGCATTTTACTTCTGTATCCTGACTTTTTTCCATATTCATATTCACCTCCACATCTAGCACATCTTTGTTTTCCTTAACAATTTCCTTTTCGTGTGTCCCATTTTTTGACACTTGAAACATCAAAGTGGTGCTGGGATAAACTCTCTTGCATCATTACTCAGATAACCCATTCTTACTCTCTTTGGCCTGACAGGCTATCAGTTTTCACCCCTTTTCTTTGTGTTTGTAGTCTTGTGGCCTTCACCACCTTTCCTCATTTCACTTCTTGAATTATCTCCTCCATTGTCATCGCCAAAGGTATATCATAAATAACACCTCTAAGCTTTGCTACATTCCCAGGGGTATAAACAGTGATTCTTTCACCATTCAGTGTTTCTGCTCTGATAAACCTATCTCTTTGCAGTTGGTTTGTAGCAAAGACCAGAAGCCTCCTAAATATTAGGCAAACTCGATCTGAAAATGCCCCCCTTCTTTTTTGAATGTTATCATCATTTTCCATTCAGTTTGTTTGTCCTCCTTTCCCACATTTATCATTGTAGGCTTCACTTTGTGGACATGTTGCCCAACTACAAACCATAGGTTTAACTTCCACAACTATCACACCTACCTTTCCTTTTTTCATTTACATCCTGCCATGACTGTTACCCATCATAGTTACATTCATGGTACAATTGTTGCTAAATACTAACGCTCGCTCTCAACAACATGCTCAAACACCGCTTCTGACCAAAGCCTGTTATGGCCTTGCCATGTGGCCTGTTTCTTGTCTCTCTCTGCTGACCTCCTCCAGGTACTGCCCTTCCCCTTTCTCACACATGCAGCTGTTCCTAATTCCCCATCAGTACCCGGAGGATAAGAGGGCATGAAGAGCGCAGGAAAGTAGTTGGTGAATCAGTCTGTGAGCCAGTTGGTGTACTGGCGTTGGTCAAATGGTTATGTGGCGCTGTGGCCTCATTTAGTCCCTCAGAGGAGGGAGGGCGTTGAAAGTGTTTTCTTGTTAAAGTTGCTAGTTCTTTGTTTATAGTTAAACCTGTATCTTCTCTTTTAGTTAAGTAGTTTTTTGTTTATACTTTGTGTTTCCGTTTGAGTATTTTTCTTTAGTTGTTAATAAATGTCTTCATTTTGTTTGCCCATAGTCTGTTTCTTGTGTCTTTGGCCCAGTTTTCATTAATATTTGTTGCATTATGGAAACTGTGGGCTACATTGCTTTTAAAAATTGACACTTACAAGGGACTTAAAGCCATGTGTCAGCCTTTGCTGCTGGGAATCTGATCATTCTTCTTTTACATCTGTTTCTCAAAAGACCCCCAAATTAATGAAAGTGCAATACTTAGTTGCTGACACACCCCTTTAAAATAATCATCAATACATTACTGAGTTTTCGTAGTCCTTTGGATAGTGCTACTGATTGCAATTTTGATTAGGTAAAATCATCTTTTTAGCTACTGACAATATTTTATATATATATATATATATATATATATATATATACGCATTTCAGAAATTTTTAAGACCTACTTGTGTAACTTGATGTGTTGTCCACTTCGGAAGTGACTCCTCCTACTACTGTAAATACATTAAAAGTGTACAATGCTCCAGGGGTCAGGTTGAAGAAGGTGCAAGTCTCAGTCAGCACTGAAGTATTCTGAACCTTCATGGTGTCCTTGAGCGCTAACACCAGGTAGGAGTAGGTTGGCTTATAATCACTTTGTCTGAGCCACGTCAGCTGGATGGACGTTGTGTTCACAACTTGCACTGTGAGGTTGGTCACTGCTTTGGGCACTGCAGCAAATACCACAGAGGGTTATGTAAGACCAAAGACCAGAACAGAACGTGGTATTTTACATTTTTGTCATTTCATTTATCATTTAGGTATATAGGATATTTAAAAAGTACTTAGAGTACATAATCCATTAAAGCTTCAGCAGTTTGACAGTGTTTAAATGCAAGGCCTTACTTGTGTAACTGAATGTCTGTTCCACCGTGGATCCACTTCCTGTTGCTGCTATCGTTGTGACAGTGAAATTGTATCTAGTTCCTGGCTCCAGGTTTGGTACATCAGTGATGTTATTGCTGACTGTTGTGTTGTTAATCAGTGCTCCCATAGAATTGTATGTTTGAAGCAAGTATGTGTAATATGACTTGAAGTCATAAGGGTATGACCAAGTGACTGCTACTGAGGTGGTGGATTTAGGTCTGGCTACAAGGTTCAATACAGGGTTGGGCACTAGACAAATGACAAACAAGAAATGTTAATTAAAATAATTAAATAAGAAGATATTTCAGTCACATTTATATTGTGCTATGTAATATACAGTGGTCTTAAGAGCTGGCCAGACAAAGCAATTGATTGTTTTACAAATACTGCAAAAATAATTTATTAAATCACTCCAAGTAATGGAGACACTTCAGCACACTTTGGTTTCTCCCTGTTGTACTTACGAGTTGTAGCAGAATAAGGGACAACCGTGCTCCTTAAATTTTGGGGTCCAACTGTTTCTACAGTTATATTGTAGGAAGTTCCAGAGGAAAGCAGAGACAGCTCTGTTTGATTGACTTGGTGTCTGCATCTTGTGATACGCCACCATTCTGGTAGGTGATATGTAGCTGATGTTTGGAGCACCCTCCATCAAAGCAGGAGTCGCCCACTTTATATAGAGCGAAGAGTTTGTCCTCTGACTGATTATGATGGAACCAGGAGGTGTGGGATCTGAGAGGTATGAATAACAGGTACAGGCACTTTGTCATTTTCAAGTCTGATTGGGTTCAAGGGTTTGAACCCATTTAAATAAATTACATTTACTTTCAAAACATTAGTAGAAGTATGACTCTTAAACTGAGATGCACATTATCTAAAAAAATCATGAAAACAGTAACAGTATTGAGTGTTGCACTCACAAGTGGCAAATGAAGACTGGTCAGAAGTGGCTCTGAAGTTTCCAGCTACAGAGGTCACTGTGATGATAAAGATTCTCCCAGGATTTAAACCAGTAAAGCTGGCTGAGGTCATTGCTGTTATGTTGCTGTACAAAGGAATCAATCCCCCATTTGAGATGTTCACCACGTAGTTATCAACCCTCCCTCTGGGCAAAGTCCAGCTGATGCTCAGATTATTAGTTCCTCGTGCTGTAATCGTAATGTTCCCAGGCTTTTCCGGGACTGTACAATAAAGAAGTAAAAGGTGGTTTGGTTATCTTGTCATTGCATCGTAAAAAAAAAAACAAAATAAATTCATGTGTCACATTTAGAAATGGCATTTAAAAGGTTTTAAAAGTTAAATAATTTATATCGCAACATGATCAATATATATTAGTAATCCATATGCAATACTTCAAATTGATATATTCCTGAACAATAAGGTTTTAATAGGTTCAAATACAGACAACGAAAAACATTTAACCCCTTAGGGTTAAGGACATTGACATTGTCTCAACTGTAATTAGTGAAACTGTAGCTGTTAAACATAATCTTGTAATCAATAATCTGAGCAGTATGTTGCGTGGTTCACTTTATTTGTCAAGGCAGGGATAGTTTATTTTTTAAAACCAAGAAACTGATTTATCGTCCGTATTATAATCACAATATCTGGGAAACCTGAGGCTGGTCTTATTTTGCCTGACCAACAGTCAAGAAGATATTTAGGTTGCAGTAACATAAAACAAAGAAAAGCAGCAATGAGTTAGAGAAGCTAGTGGAGCAATAGTTGGTGATATGAATATTTTGTTTTTGTATTTTTAAATTAATTTTAGTGTCTATTTTCTTTTTTGTTTGCTCGTAGCTTTTGCTTATAGTCACGTAATATAAGTAAGTATGAACCTACTTGTGAAGGTACTTATTAAGGTACTGTCTCCTGTGTTTGAGGAATTTACAGAAACAGCAGCCACTGTAATGTTGTACTGGAATCCAGGAATTAAATTGTTGACAGTAAAGGAGGATTCACTTGTGGTGTCATTCAAGGTCACTCCTCCTCCAATCCACTGAACTGTGTATGAGGTAACGTTGCCCACTGGTTCAGTCCAGTCCAGAGACACAGACGATGTTGTGATGTTGATGATGGTGAGGCTTCTAACCACAGCAGGTTCTGCACATGCAGGAAAAACACAAGATGAGGGGAATAAAATCAACATACAGCTAACACCATGTGTAAATGGAGAAACCTCTTGAGTGACTTTTATTACACTTGTGCATAATTAAATACAAGATGTTAAATACAGAAAGGGTGGCTTACTTGTGACTGAAGTGAATGTGTAAGACTCTCCTGTCTGATTGCCTCCAGCAATGGCAGTGACTGTGATTACGTAGCTAGTACCAGGGATCAGATTGGATAATACAGCAGTGGTATTGTTGTGTATATGACCATCGACACTCCGCCATTAAGCCAGCGCACCATGTACTTGGCCACCTGACCAGGAGGTGGGGTCCAAGTCAGAGCGATGGAGGAGGTGTTTGTGGCCACAGTAAGTAATGCAATTTTACCCGGTTCTAAGGGTGAGAGGAGAAGAAAGGAGAGGAGGTGAGAAAGAGAAAAATAGCAACACATAAAATGAAGTAAATTTAAAGTTAAGAAAATAAACCGATAAACTAATCAGATAAACTATCCATGTGTAAGAAAAGCAAACCAAAAAAGCACAGACAAGGGTATTAGCACCATTATGTGCAAATATGTAATATCACAAGAGGTTCAAAGCCAGAACAATGATTCAGCACATAAACCTCTGTGGTGAGAACTGAAATCATTGTAGAGAGTCTTCAATGTCCCCAGTGAGTGCTTCCTTACTTGTGTATTGGGACACAGTGGTACTCTGTCCGTACGTACTGCCATCACCTGCCACTGCAGTGACAGTTATATTATACTGAACACCAGCAGTCAGGTTAGTTATGGTTGTAGATGTTCCAGTAGTCACATTTACTGTCTCAGTTACACTGCCATTAGTCCATTGTACTCTATAGAAAGAGCTTATTCCCTCTGGTTTAGTCCAGCTCAGAGACACAGAGGATGTTGTAAAACCAGTGACAGTGAGATTCATGACTACATCAGGCACTGTGAATTACAGAGAAGTGAACACAATGGATAAAGGTTAATAAATAACATCTTCACAATAACATTAGTCTAACTGTCCCTAGAGCCATGCTGCCAACATGACTAAAAATGACATATCAAACCCTGTCTGTCAAACCAACCCCAATGCTCCTGAAATCTGCACAACACTACGCAGATCAACCATCAACAATGTCCAGAGCGACAACCCAGATCCAGCACATACAGTACTCTGAGGTACTGCTGTAGTACCCAAGACCCGTCTCAAGACCACTTTTTAATGGTCTTGGTCTCGTCTCGGAATCTCGGTCTCGCACATAGAAGTCTCTTGATTTTATTTGAAGACCAGTCAAGACCATAACTTTGGGAATATCAATAACTTGCCTTGACATTGTCCGATTTATTTGTTAGCATCCTTACTTTGATTGGATGTAAAGCTTATTGCTTCAAATGCAACCAATAACGCTGATTAAAAATGCGTTGTGACCGTTAACAGTTGTCACTCCTCCCCGCCCCCCTTCACACACTCCAAGAAAGTGAATGGTGGAGACAGGAGAAGCTGTGGCTGTCTGGAAATAGGAGGATATGTCCGCAAAATCTTAACAATAACATTTAGCCACCTAAACCATAAAGAATGAATCTGTAAAAAGCGTCCAGAAGAACACACAGCAATCTGTAAATTCTTAAGTGTAACCGTGTGGAGACGGCCGGGACCACGTTAAACATTTATTGCCACTTAAAAAGAAAACATAAAGAAAGGTAAGCTTTGTGTAAGTGACATTAGCAAAGCAAGCAAGCTCATCTATGTATATACTGTATGTTTTCTGGGCATTATTTCAGTTGTTTGCCAGTTGTTCGCCTCCTAGCTAGGTGCACAAGCTACCTACTTTATTTAACATATTGATGGAAGTAGCTAATGCAGTTAGTTTGTTAGAGACTGAGGACAGGGCATGTGGTGACAACTTGTTCCTAAGTTACATTTTTGCTCGTGATAAAATGATCAAACAGGCCACATAAAGCTATGTAGCTAATGTGTAGCTAAATTACATCACCGTTAGCTACTGTCAGCTGCATACAGCTTCGGACATTAAAGCTACGCTCCATGGTACTGCTTCTTGATTTGGGTGAGAGAGCTAGCGTAGGGATGTGACAGCAGGGAGTGGAGACTGAGTAATGCGCCTCCACTTGTATGAAAAAATGTAAAGCTACATATTAAATAGTTTTCTCTGTACGGCCTCAAGTGTTTGTCATGTTCTGACCATGAAAAAAAGTTTAAAACCACCATTACCATCTGCCTTTAAATTGGAAAGAAAGAATGGTTTGACTTTTTTGGTGTTAATTATTGAGATCGAATGAAGTGACATTTTTTACCACAACATTTTTGGCCATATCGCCCAGCTCTAGTGTTGGGTGGAGGGTAAACATGGAAAAGGAGCGTTAAATAAAGATGCTTATGTTGATTTCAGCTCGTAGTGTTTGTATGAGGGTGTTTCTATGTGGATCTGGAAGTACAGTACCTATGATTGCTTTCCACATTTTATTGTGTGTCATGTAATGGGGGGCACTGGTCTTGGTCTTGACTTGGTCTCTGTTTGGGCGCTCTTGACTACAACAATTCTCTGAGGTAAAAGTTGAAATCATAGCAGAGAGTCTTCTCCACCAGGTGTCCTCAGCAGACTAGCTGACAGTATGAGCCCCATTTAAGCTCTTACTTACTTGTGTATTGGGACACAGTGGTACTCTGTCCGTACGTACTGCCATCACCTGCCACTGCAGTGACAGTTATATTATACTGAACACCAGCAGTCAGGTTAGTTATGGTTGTAGATGTTCCAGTAGTCACATTTACTGTCTCAGTTACACTGCCATTAGTCCATTGTACTCTATAGAAAGAGCTTATTCCCTCTGGTTTAGTCCAGCTCAGAGACACAGAGGATGTTGTAAAACCAGTGACAGTGAGATTCATGACTACATCAGGCACTGTGAATTACAGAGAAGTGAACACAATGGATAAAGGTTAATAAATAACATCTTCACAATAACATTAGCCTAACTGTCCCTAGAGCCATGCTGCCAACATGACTAAAAATGACATATCAAACCCTGTCTGTCAAACCAACCCCAATGCTCCTGAAATCTGCACAACACTACGCAGATCAACCATCAACAATGTCCAGAGCGACAACCCAGATCCAGCACATACAGTACTCTGAGGTACTGCTGTAGTACCCAAGACCCGTCTCAAGACCACTTTTTAATGGTCTTGGTCTCGTCTCGGAATCCACCGCATTTGTACTCAGTCTTGTCTCGGTCTCGCACATAGAGGACTCTGGATTTTATTTGAAGACCAGTCAAGACCATAACTTTGGGAATATCAATAACTTGCCTTGACATTGTCCGATTTATTTGTTAGCATCCTTACTTTGATTGGATGTAAAGCTTATTGCTTCAAATGCAACCAATAACGCTGATTAAAAATGCGTTGTGACCGTTAACAGTTGTCACTCCTCCCCGCCCCCCTTCACACACTCCAAGAAAGTGAATGGTGGAGACAGGAGAAGCTGTGGCTGTCTGGAAATAGGAGGATATGTCAGCAAAATCTTAACAATAACATTTAGCCACCTAAACCATAAAGAATGAATCTGTAAAAAGCGTCCAGAAGAACACACAGCAATCTGTAAATTCTTAAGTGTAACCGTGTGGAGACGGCCGGGACCACGTTAAACATTTATTGCCACTTAAAAAGAAAACATAAAGAAAGGTAAGCTTTGTGTAAGTGACATTAGCAAAGCAAGCAAGCTCATCTATGTATATACTGTATGTTTTCTGGGCATTATTTCAGTTGTTTGCCAGTTGTTCGCCTCCTAGCTAGGTGCACAAGCTACCTACTTTATTTAACATATTGATGGAAGTAGCTAATGCAGTTAGTTTGTTAGAGACTGAGGACAGGGCATGTGGTGACAACTTGTTCCTAAGTTACATTTTTGCTCGTGATAAAATGATCAAACAGGCCACATAAAGCTATGTAGCTAATGTGTAGCTAAATTACATCACCGTTAGCTACTGTCAGCTGCATACAGCTTCGGACATTAAAGCTACGCTCCATGGTACTGCTTCTTGATTTGGGTGAGAGAGCTAGCGTAGGGATGTGACAGCAGGGAGTGGAGACTGAGTAATGCGCCTCCACTTGTATGAAAAAATGTAAAGCTACATATTAAATAGTTTTCTCTGTACGGCCTCAAGTGTTTGTCATGTTCTGACCATGAAAAAAAGTTTAAAACCACCATTACCATCTGCCTTTAAATTGGAAAGAAAGAATGGTTTGACTTTTTTGGTGTTAATTATTGAGATCGAATGAAGTGACATTTTTTACCACAACATTTTTGGCCATATCGCCCAGCTCTAGTGTTGGGTGGAGGGTAAACATGGAAAAGGAGCGTTAAATAAAGATGCTTATGTTGATTTCAGCTCGTAGTGTTTGTATGAGGGTGTTTCTATGTGGATCTGGAAGTACAGTACCTATGATTGCTTTCCACATTTTATTGTGTGTCATGTAATGGGGGGCACTGGTCTTGGTCTTGACTTGGTCTCTGTTTGGGCGCTCTTGACTACAACAATTCTCTGAGGTAAAAGTTGAAATCATAGCAGAGAGTCTTCTCCACCAGGTGTCCTCAGCAGACTAGCTGACAGTATGAGCCCCATTTAAGCTCTTACTTACTTGTGTATTGGGACACAGTGGTACTCTGTCCGTACGTACTGCCATCACCTGCCACTGCAGTGACAGTTATATTATACTGAACACCAGCAGTCAGGTTAGTTATGGTTGTAGATGTTCCAGTAGTCACATTTACTGTCTCAGTTACACTGCCATTAGTCCGTTGTACTCTATAGAAAGAGCTTATTCCCTCTGGTTTAGTCCAGCTCAGAGACACAGAGGATGTTGTAAAACCAGTGACAGTGAGATTCATGACTACATCAGGCACTGTGAATTACAGAGAAGTGAACACAATGGATAAAGGTTAATAAATAACATCTTCACAATAACATTAGCCTAACTGTCCCTAGAGCCATGCTGCCAACATGACTAAAAATGACATATCAAACCCTGTCTGTCAAACCAACCCCAATGCTCCTGAAATCTGCACAACACTACGCAGATCAACCATCAACAATGTCCAGAGCGACAACCCAGATCCAGCACATACAGTACTCTGAGGTACTGCTGTAGTACCCAAGACCCGTCTCAAGACCACTTTTTAATGGTCTTGGTCTCGTCTCGGAATCCACCGCATTTGTACTCAGTCTTGTCTCGGTCTCGCACATAGAGGACTCTGGATTTTATTTGAAGACCAGTCAAGACCATAACTTTGGGAATATCAATAACTTGCCTTGACATTGTCCGATTTATTTGTTAGCATCCTTACTTTGATTGGATGTAAAGCTTATTGCTTCAAATGCAACCAATAACGCTGATTAAAAATGCGTTGTGACCGTTAACAGTTGTCACTCCTCCCCGCCCCCCTTCACACACTCCAAGAAAGTGAATGGTGGAGACAGGAGAAGCTGTGGCTGTCTGGAAATAGGAGGATATGTCAGCAAAATCTTAACAATAACATTTAGCCACCTAAACCATAAAGAATGAATCTGTAAAAAGCGTCCAGAAGAACACACAGCAATCTGTAAATTCTTAAGTGTAACCGTGTGGAGACGGCCGGGACCACGTTAAACATTTATTGCCACTTAAAAAGAAAACATAAAGAAAGGTAAGCTTTGTGTAAGTGACATTAGCAAAGCAAGCAAGCTCATCTATGTATATACTGTATGTTTTCTGGGCATTATTTCAGTTGTTTGCCAGTTGTTCGCCTCCTAGCTAGGTGCACAAGCTACCTACTTTATTTAACATATTGATGGAAGTAGCTAATGCAGTTAGTTTGTTAGAGACTGAGGACAGGGCATGTGGTGACAACTTGTTCCTAAGTTACATTTTTGCTCGTGATAAAATGATCAAACAGGCCACATAAAGCTATGTAGCTAATGTGTAGCTAAATTACATCACCGTTAGCTACTGTCAGCTGCATACAGCTTCGGACATTAAAGCTACGCTCCATGGTACTGCTTCTTGATTTGGGTGAGAGAGCTAGCGTAGGGATGTGACAGCAGGGAGTGGAGACTGAGTAATGCGCCTCCACTTGTATGAAAAAATGTAAAGCTACATATTAAATAGTTTTCTCTGTACGGCCTCAAGTGTTTGTCATGTTCTGACCATGAAAAAAAGTTTAAAACCACCATTACCATCTGCCTTTAAATTGGAAAGAAAGAATGGTTTGACTTTTTTGGTGTTAATTATTGAGATCGAATGAAGTGACATTTTTTACCACAACATTTTTGGCCATATCGCCCAGCTCTAGTGTTGGGTGGAGGGTAAACATGGAAAAGGAGCGTTAAATAAAGATGCTTATGTTGATTTCAGCTCGTAGTGTTTGTATGAGGGTGTTTCTATGTGGATCTGGAAGTACAGTACCTATGATTGCTTTCCACATTTTATTGTGTGTCATGTAATGGGGGGCACTGGTCTTGGTCTTGACTTGGTCTCTGTTTGGGCGCTCTTGACTACAACAATTCTCTGAGGTAAAAGTTGAAATCATAGCAGAGAGTCTTCTCCACCAGGTGTCCTCAGCAGACTAGCTGACAGTATGAGCCCCATTTAAGCTCTTACTTACTTGTGTATTGGGACACAGTGGTACTCTGTCCGTACGTACTGCCATCACCTGCCACTGCAGTGACAGTTATATTATACTGAACACCAGCAGTCAGGTTAGTTATGGTTGTAGATGTTCCAGTAGTCACATTTACTGTCTCAGTTACACTGCCATTAGTCCGTTGTACTCTATAGAAAGAGCTTATTCCCTCTGGTTTAGTCCAGCTCAGAGACACAGAGGATGTTGTAAAACCAGTGACAGTGAGATTCATGACTACATCAGGCACTGTGAATTACAGAGAAGTGAACACAATGGATAAAGGTTAATAAATAACATCTTCACAATAACATTAGCCTAACTGTCCCTAGAGCCATGCTGCCAACATGACTAAAAATGACATATCAAACCCTGTCTGTCAAACCAACCCCAATGCTCCTGAAATCTGCACAACACTACGCAGATCAACCATCAACAATGTCCAGAGCGACAACCCAGATCCAGCACATACAGTACTCTGAGGTACTGCTGTAGTACCCAAGACCCGTCTCAAGACCACTTTTTAATGGTCTTGGTCTCGTCTCGGAATCCACCGCATTTGTACTCAGTCTTGTCTCGGTCTCGCACATAGAGGACTCTGGATTTTATTTGAAGACCAGTCAAGACCATAACTTTGGGAATATCAATAACTTGCCTTGACATTGTCCGATTTATTTGTTAGCATCCTTACTTTGATTGGATGTAAAGCTTATTGCTTCAAATGCAACCAATAACGCTGATTAAAAATGCGTTGTGACCGTTAACAGTTGTCACTCCTCCCCGCCCCCCTTCACACACTCCAAGAAAGTGAATGGTGGAGACAGGAGAAGCTGTGGCTGTCTGGAAATAGGAGGATATGTCAGCAAAATCTTAACAATAACATTTAGCCACCTAAACCATAAAGAATGAATCTGTAAAAAGCGTCCAGAAGAACACACAGCAATCTGTAAATTCTTAAGTGTAACCGTGTGGAGACGGCCGGGACCACGTTAAACATTTATTGCCACTTAAAAAGAAAACATAAAGAAAGGTAAGCTTTGTGTAAGTGACATTAGCAAAGCAAGCAAGCTCATCTATGTATATACTGTATGTTTTCTGGGCATTATTTCAGTTGTTTGCCAGTTGTTCGCCTCCTAGCTAGGTGCACAAGCTACCTACTTTATTTAACATATTGATGGAAGTAGCTAATGCAGTTAGTTTGTTAGAGACTGAGGACAGGGCATGTGGTGACAACTTGTTCCTAAGTTACATTTTTGCTCGTGATAAAATGATCAAACAGGCCACATAAAGCTATGTAGCTAATGTGTAGCTAAATTACATCACCGTTAGCTACTGTCAGCTGCATACAGCTTCGGACATTAAAGCTACGCTCCATGGTACTGCTTCTTGATTTGGGTGAGAGAGCTAGCGTAGGGATGTGACAGCAGGGAGTGGAGACTGAGTAATGCGCCTCCACTTGTATGAAAAAATGTAAAGCTACATATTAAATAGTTTTCTCTGTACGGCCTCAAGTGTTTGTCATGTTCTGACCATGAAAAAAAGTTTAAAACCACCATTACCATCTGCCTTTAAATTGGAAAGAAAGAATGGTTTGACTTTTTTGGTGTTAATTATTGAGATCGAATGAAGTGACATTTTTTACCACAACATTTTTGGCCATATCGCCCAGCTCTAGTGTTGGGTGGAGGGTAAACATGGAAAAGGAGCGTTAAATAAAGATGCTTATGTTGATTTCAGCTCGTAGTGTTTGTATGAGGGTGTTTCTATGTGGATCTGGAAGTACAGTACCTATGATTGCTTTCCACATTTTATTGTGTGTCATGTAATGGGGGGCACTGGTCTTGGTCTTGACTTGGTCTCTGTTTGGGCGCTCTTGACTACAACAATTCTCTGAGGTAAAAGTTGAAATCATAGCAGAGAGTCTTCTCCACCAGGTGTCCTCAGCAGACTAGCTGACAGTATGAGCCCCATTTAAGCTCTTACTTACTTGTGTATTGGGACACAGTGGTACTCTGTCCGTACGTACTGCCATCACCTGCCACTGCAGTGACAGTTATATTATACTGAACACCAGCAGTCAGGTTAGTTATGGTTGTAGATGTTCCAGTAGTCACATTTACTGTCTCAGTTACACTGCCATTAGTCCGTTGTACTCTATAGAAAGAGCTTATTCCCTCTGGTTTAGTCCAGCTCAGAGACACAGAGGATGTTGTAAAACCAGTGACAGTGAGATTCATGACTACATCAGGCACTGTGAATTACAGAGAAGTGAACACAATGGATAAAGGTTAATAAATAACATCTTCACAATAACATTAGCCTAACTGTCCCTAGAGCCATGCTGCCAACATGACTAAAAATGACATATCAAACCCTGTCTGTCAAACCAACCCCAATGCTCCTGAAATCTGCACAACACTACGCAGATCAACCATCAACAATGTCCAGAGCGACAACCCAGATCCAGCACATACAGTACTCTGAGGTACTGCTGTAGTACCCAAGACCCGTCTCAAGACCACTTTTTAATGGTCTTGGTCTCGTCTCGGAATCCACCGCATTTGTACTCAGTCTTGTCTCGGTCTCGCACATAGAGGACTCTGGATTTTATTTGAAGACCAGTCAAGACCATAACTTTGGGAATATCAATAACTTGCCTTGACATTGTCCGATTTATTTGTTAGCATCCTTACTTTGATTGGATGTAAAGCTTATTGCTTCAAATGCAACCAATAACGCTGATTAAAAATGCGTTGTGACCGTTAACAGTTGTCACTCCTCCCCGCCCCCCTTCACACACTCCAAGAAAGTGAATGGTGGAGACAGGAGAAGCTGTGGCTGTCTGGAAATAGGAGGATATGTCAGCAAAATCTTAACAATAACATTTAGCCACCTAAACCATAAAGAATGAATCTGTAAAAAGCGTCCAGAAGAACACACAGCAATCTGTAAATTCTTAAGTGTAACCGTGTGGAGACGGCCGGGACCACGTTAAACATTTATTGCCACTTAAAAAGAAAACATAAAGAAAGGTAAGCTTTGTGTAAGTGACATTAGCAAAGCAAGCAAGCTCATCTATGTATATACTGTATGTTTTCTGGGCATTATTTCAGTTGTTTGCCAGTTGTTCGCCTCCTAGCTAGGTGCACAAGCTACCTACTTTATTTAACATATTGATGGAAGTAGCTAATGCAGTTAGTTTGTTAGAGACTGAGGACAGGGCATGTGGTGACAACTTGTTCCTAAGTTACATTTTTGCTCGTGATAAAATGATCAAACAGGCCACATAAAGCTATGTAGCTAATGTGTAGCTAAATTACATCACCGTTAGCTACTGTCAGCTGCATACAGCTTCGGACATTAAAGCTACGCTCCATGGTACTGCTTCTTGATTTGGGTGAGAGAGCTAGCGTAGGGATGTGACAGCAGGGAGTGGAGACTGAGTAATGCGCCTCCACTTGTATGAAAAAATGTAAAGCTACATATTAAATAGTTTTCTCTGTACGGCCTCAAGTGTTTGTCATGTTCTGACCATGAAAAAAAGTTTAAAACCACCATTACCATCTGCCTTTAAATTGGAAAGAAAGAATGGTTTGACTTTTTTGGTGTTAATTATTGAGATCGAATGAAGTGACATTTTTTACCACAACATTTTTGGCCATATCGCCCAGCTCTAGTGTTGGGTGGAGGGTAAACATGGAAAAGGAGCGTTAAATAAAGATGCTTATGTTGATTTCAGCTCGTAGTGTTTGTATGAGGGTGTTTCTATGTGGATCTGGAAGTACAGTACCTATGATTGCTTTCCACATTTTATTGTGTGTCATGTAATGGGGGGCACTGGTCTTGGTCTTGACTTGGTCTCTGTTTGGGCGCTCTTGACTACAACAATTCTCTGAGGTAAAAGTTGAAATCATAGCAGAGAGTCTTCTCCACCAGGTGTCCTCAGCAGACTAGCTGACAGTATGAGCCCCATTTAAGCTCTTACTTACTTGTGTATTGGGACACAGTGGTACTCTGTCCGTACGTACTGCCATCACCTGCCACTGCAGTGACAGTTATATTATACTGAACACCAGCAGTCAGGTTAGTTATGGTTGTAGATGTTCCAGTAGTCACATTTACTGTCTCAGTTACACTGCCATTAGTCCGTTGTACTCTATAGAAAGAGCTTATTCCCTCTGGTTTAGTCCAGCTCAGAGACACAGAGGATGTTGTAAAACCAGTGACAGTGAGATTCATGACTACATCAGGCACTGTGAATTACAGAGAAGTGAACACAATGGATAAAGGTTAATAAATAACATCTTCACAATAACATTAGCCTAACTGTCCCTAGAGCCATGCTGCCAACATGACTAAAAATGACATATCAAACCCTGTCTGTCAAACCAACCCCAATGCTCCTGAAATCTGCACAACACTACGCAGATCAACCATCAACAATGTCCAGAGCGACAACCCAGATCCAGCACATACAGTACTCTGAGGTACTGCTGTAGTACCCAAGACCCGTCTCAAGACCACTTTTTAATGGTCTTGGTCTCGTCTCGGAATCCACCGCATTTGTACTCAGTCTTGTCTCGGTCTCGCACATAGAGGACTCTGGATTTTATTTGAAGACCAGTCAAGACCATAACTTTGGGAATATCAATAACTTGCCTTGACATTGTCCGATTTATTTGTTAGCATCCTTACTTTGATTGGATGTAAAGCTTATTGCTTCAAATGCAACCAATAACGCTGATTAAAAATGCGTTGTGACCGTTAACAGTTGTCACTCCTCCCCGCCCCCCTTCACACACTCCAAGAAAGTGAATGGTGGAGACAGGAGAAGCTGTGGCTGTCTGGAAATAGGAGGATATGTCAGCAAAATCTTAACAATAACATTTAGCCACCTAAACCATAAAGAATGAATCTGTAAAAAGCGTCCAGAAGAACACACAGCAATCTGTAAATTCTTAAGTGTAACCGTGTGGAGACGGCCGGGACCACGTTAAACATTTATTGCCACTTAAAAAGAAAACATAAAGAAAGGTAAGCTTTGTGTAAGTGACATTAGCAAAGCAAGCAAGCTCATCTATGTATATACTGTATGTTTTCTGGGCATTATTTCAGTTGTTTGCCAGTTGTTCGCCTCCTAGCTAGGTGCACAAGCTACCTACTTTATTTAACATATTGATGGAAGTAGCTAATGCAGTTAGTTTGTTAGAGACTGAGGACAGGGCATGTGGTGACAACTTGTTCCTAAGTTACATTTTTGCTCGTGATAAAATGATCAAACAGGCCACATAAAGCTATGTAGCTAATGTGTAGCTAAATTACATCACCGTTAGCTACTGTCAGCTGCATACAGCTTCGGACATTAAAGCTACGCTCCATGGTACTGCTTCTTGATTTGGGTGAGAGAGCTAGCGTAGGGATGTGACAGCAGGGAGTGGAGACTGAGTAATGCGCCTCCACTTGTATGAAAAAATGTAAAGCTACATATTAAATAGTTTTCTCTGTACGGCCTCAAGTGTTTGTCATGTTCTGACCATGAAAAAAAGTTTAAAACCACCATTACCATCTGCCTTTAAATTGGAAAGAAAGAATGGTTTGACTTTTTTGGTGTTAATTATTGAGATCGAATGAAGTGACATTTTTTACCACAACATTTTTGGCCATATCGCCCAGCTCTAGTGTTGGGTGGAGGGTAAACATGGAAAAGGAGCGTTAAATAAAGATGCTTATGTTGATTTCAGCTCGTAGTGTTTGTATGAGGGTGTTTCTATGTGGATCTGGAAGTACAGTACCTATGATTGCTTTCCACATTTTATTGTGTGTCATGTAATGGGGGGCACTGGTCTTGGTCTTGACTTGGTCTCTGTTTGGGCGCTCTTGACTACAACAATTCTCTGAGGTAAAAGTTGAAATCATAGCAGAGAGTCTTCTCCACCAGGTGTCCTCAGCAGACTAGCTGACAGTATGAGCCCCATTTAAGCTCTTACTTACTTGTGTATTGGGACACAGTGGTACTCTGTCCGTACGTACTGCCATCACCTGCCACTGCAGTGACAGTTATATTATACTGAACACCAGCAGTCAGGTTAGTTATGGTTGTAGATGTTCCAGTAGTCACATTTACTGTCTCAGTTACACTGCCATTAGTCCGTTGTACTCTATAGAAAGAGCTTATTCCCTCTGGTTTAGTCCAGCTCAGAGACACAGAGGATGTTGTAAAACCAGTGACAGTGAGATTCATGACTACATCAGGCACTGTGAATTACAGAGAAGTGAACACAATGGATAAAGGTTAATAAATAACATCTTCACAATAACATTAGCCTAACTGTCCCTAGAGCCATGCTGCCAACATGACTAAAAATGACATATCAAACCCTGTCTGTCAAACCAACCCCAATGCTCCTGAAATCTGCACAACACTACGCAGATCAACCATCAACAATGTCCAGAGCGACAACCCAGATCCAGCACATACAGTACTCTGAGGTACTGCTGTAGTACCCAAGACCCGTCTCAAGACCACTTTTTAATGGTCTTGGTCTCGTCTCGGAATCCACCGCATTTGTACTCAGTCTTGTCTCGGTCTCGCACATAGAGGACTCTGGATTTTATTTGAAGACCAGTCAAGACCATAACTTTGGGAATATCAATAACTTGCCTTGACATTGTCCGATTTATTTGTTAGCATCCTTACTTTGATTGGATGTAAAGCTTATTGCTTCAAATGCAACCAATAACGCTGATTAAAAATGCGTTGTGACCGTTAACAGTTGTCACTCCTCCCCGCCCCCCTTCACACACTCCAAGAAAGTGAATGGTGGAGACAGGAGAAGCTGTGGCTGTCTGGAAATAGGAGGATATGTCAGCAAAATCTTAACAATAACATTTAGCCACCTAAACCATAAAGAATGAATCTGTAAAAAGCGTCCAGAAGAACACACAGCAATCTGTAAATTCTTAAGTGTAACCGTGTGGAGACGGCCGGGACCACGTTAAACATTTATTGCCACTTAAAAAGAAAACATAAAGAAAGGTAAGCTTTGTGTAAGTGACATTAGCAAAGCAAGCAAGCTCATCTATGTATATACTGTATGTTTTCTGGGCATTATTTCAGTTGTTTGCCAGTTGTTCGCCTCCTAGCTAGGTGCACAAGCTACCTACTTTATTTAACATATTGATGGAAGTAGCTAATGCAGTTAGTTTGTTAGAGACTGAGGACAGGGCATGTGGTGACAACTTGTTCCTAAGTTACATTTTTGCTCGTGATAAAATGATCAAACAGGCCACATAAAGCTATGTAGCTAATGTGTAGCTAAATTACATCACCGTTAGCTACTGTCAGCTGCATACAGCTTCGGACATTAAAGCTACGCTCCATGGTACTGCTTCTTGATTTGGGTGAGAGAGCTAGCGTAGGGATGTGACAGCAGGGAGTGGAGACTGAGTAATGCGCCTCCACTTGTATGAAAAAATGTAAAGCTACATATTAAATAGTTTTCTCTGTACGGCCTCAAGTGTTTGTCATGTTCTGACCATGAAAAAAAGTTTAAAACCACCATTACCATCTGCCTTTAAATTGGAAAGAAAGAATGGTTTGACTTTTTTGGTGTTAATTATTGAGATCGAATGAAGTGACATTTTTTACCACAACATTTTTGGCCATATCGCCCAGCTCTAGTGTTGGGTGGAGGGTAAACATGGAAAAGGAGCGTTAAATAAAGATGCTTATGTTGATTTCAGCTCGTAGTGTTTGTATGAGGGTGTTTCTATGTGGATCTGGAAGTACAGTACCTATGATTGCTTTCCACATTTTATTGTGTGTCATGTAATGGGGGGCACTGGTCTTGGTCTTGACTTGGTCTCTGTTTGGGCGCTCTTGACTACAACAATTCTCTGAGGTAAAAGTTGAAATCATAGCAGAGAGTCTTCTCCACCAGGTGTCCTCAGCAGACTAGCTGACAGTATGAGCCCCATTTAAGCTCTTACTTACTTGTGTATTGGGACACAGTGGTACTCTGTCCGTACGTACTGCCATCACCTGCCACTGCAGTGACAGTTATATTATACTGAACACCAGCAGTCAGGTTAGTTATGGTTGTAGATGTTCCAGTAGTCACATTTACTGTCTCAGTTACACTGCCATTAGTCCGTTGTACTCTATAGAAAGAGCTTATTCCCTCTGGTTTAGTCCAGCTCAGAGACACAGAGGATGTTGTAAAACCAGTGACAGTGAGATTCATGACTACATCAGGCACTGTGAATTACAGAGAAGTGAACACAATGGATAAAGGTTAATAAATAACATCTTCACAATAACATTAGCCTAACTGTCCCTAGAGCCATGCTGCCAACATGACTAAAAATGACATATCAAACCCTGTCTGTCAAACCAACCCCAATGCTCCTGAAATCTGCACAACACTACGCAGATCAACCATCAACAATGTCCAGAGCGACAACCCAGATCCAGCACATACAGTACTCTGAGGTACTGCTGTAGTACCCAAGACCCGTCTCAAGACCACTTTTTAATGGTCTTGGTCTCGTCTCGGAATCCACCGCATTTGTACTCAGTCTTGTCTCGGTCTCGCACATAGAGGACTCTGGATTTTATTTGAAGACCAGTCAAGACCATAACTTTGGGAATATCAATAACTTGCCTTGACATTGTCCGATTTATTTGTTAGCATCCTTACTTTGATTGGATGTAAAGCTTATTGCTTCAAATGCAACCAATAACGCTGATTAAAAATGCGTTGTGACCGTTAACAGTTGTCACTCCTCCCCGCCCCCCTTCACACACTCCAAGAAAGTGAATGGTGGAGACAGGAGAAGCTGTGGCTGTCTGGAAATAGGAGGATATGTCAGCAAAATCTTAACAATAACATTTAGCCACCTAAACCATAAAGAATGAATCTGTAAAAAGCGTCCAGAAGAACACACAGCAATCTGTAAATTCTTAAGTGTAACCGTGTGGAGACGGCCGGGACCACGTTAAACATTTATTGCCACTTAAAAAGAAAACATAAAGAAAGGTAAGCTTTGTGTAAGTGACATTAGCAAAGCAAGCAAGCTCATCTATGTATATACTGTATGTTTTCTGGGCATTATTTCAGTTGTTTGCCAGTTGTTCGCCTCCTAGCTAGGTGCACAAGCTACCTACTTTATTTAACATATTGATGGAAGTAGCTAATGCAGTTAGTTTGTTAGAGACTGAGGACAGGGCATGTGGTGACAACTTGTTCCTAAGTTACATTTTTGCTCGTGATAAAATGATCAAACAGGCCACATAAAGCTATGTAGCTAATGTGTAGCTAAATTACATCACCGTTAGCTACTGTCAGCTGCATACAGCTTCGGACATTAAAGCTACGCTCCATGGTACTGCTTCTTGATTTGGGTGAGAGAGCTAGCGTAGGGATGTGACAGCAGGGAGTGGAGACTGAGTAATGCGCCTCCACTTGTATGAAAAAATGTAAAGCTACATATTAAATAGTTTTCTCTGTACGGCCTCAAGTGTTTGTCATGTTCTGACCATGAAAAAAAGTTTAAAACCACCATTACCATCTGCCTTTAAATTGGAAAGAAAGAATGGTTTGACTTTTTTGGTGTTAATTATTGAGATCGAATGAAGTGACATTTTTTACCACAACATTTTTGGCCATATCGCCCAGCTCTAGTGTTGGGTGGAGGGTAAACATGGAAAAGGAGCGTTAAATAAAGATGCTTATGTTGATTTCAGCTCGTAGTGTTTGTATGAGGGTGTTTCTATGTGGATCTGGAAGTACAGTACCTATGATTGCTTTCCACATTTTATTGTGTGTCATGTAATGGGGGGCACTGGTCTTGGTCTTGACTTGGTCTCTGTTTGGGCGCTCTTGACTACAACAATTCTCTGAGGTAAAAGTTGAAATCATAGCAGAGAGTCTTCTCCACCAGGTGTCCTCAGCAGACTAGCTGACAGTATGAGCCCCATTTAAGCTCTTACTTACTTGTGTATTGGGACACAGTGGTACTCTGTCCGTACGTACTGCCATCACCTGCCACTGCAGTGACAGTTATATTATACTGAACACCAGCAGTCAGGTTAGTTATGGTTGTAGATGTTCCAGTAGTCACATTTACTGTCTCAGTTACACTGCCATTAGTCCGTTGTACTCTATAGAAAGAGCTTATTCCCTCTGGTTTAGTCCAGCTCAGAGACACAGAGGATGTTGTAAAACCAGTGACAGTGAGATTCATGACTACATCAGGCACTGTGAATTACAGAGAAGTGAACACAATGGATAAAGGTTAATAAATAACATCTTCACAATAACATTAGCCTAACTGTCCCTAGAGCCATGCTGCCAACATGACTAAAAATGACATATCAAACCCTGTCTGTCAAACCAACCCCAATGCTCCTGAAATCTGCACAACACTACGCAGATCAACCATCAACAATGTCCAGAGCGACAACCCAGATCCAGCACATACAGTACTCTGAGGTACTGCTGTAGTACCCAAGACCCGTCTCAAGACCACTTTTTAATGGTCTTGGTCTCGTCTCGGAATCCACCGCATTTGTACTCAGTCTTGTCTCGGTCTCGCACATAGAGGACTCTGGATTTTATTTGAAGACCAGTCAAGACCATAACTTTGGGAATATCAATAACTTGCCTTGACATTGTCCGATTTATTTGTTAGCATCCTTACTTTGATTGGATGTAAAGCTTATTGCTTCAAATGCAACCAATAACGCTGATTAAAAATGCGTTGTGACCGTTAACAGTTGTCACTCCTCCCGCCCCCCTTCACACACTCCAAGAAAGTGAATGGTGGAGACAGGAGAAGCTGTGGCTGTCTGGAAATAGGAGGATATGTCAGCAAAATCTTAACAATAACATTTAGCCACCTAAACCATAAAGAATGAATCTGTAAAAAGCGTCCAGAAGAACACACAGCAATCTGTAAATTCTTAAGTGTAACCGTGTGGAGACGGCCGGGACCACGTTAAACATTTATTGCCACTTAAAAAGAAAACATAAAGAAAGGTAAGCTTTGTGTAAGTGACATTAGCAAAGCAAGCAAGCTCATCTATGTATATACTGTATGTTTTCTGGGCATTATTTCAGTTGTTTGCCAGTTGTTCGCCTCCTAGCTAGGTGCACAAGCTACCTACTTTATTTAACATATTGATGGAAGTAGCTAATGCAGTTAGTTTGTTAGAGACTGAGGACAGGGCATGTGGTGACAACTTGTTCCTAAGTTACATTTTTGCTCGTGATAAAATGATCAAACAGGCCACATAAAGCTATGTAGCTAATGTGTAGCTAAATTACATCACCGTTAGCTACTGTCAGCTGCATACAGCTTCGGACATTAAAGCTACGCTCCATGGTACTGCTTCTTGATTTGGGTGAGAGAGCTAGCGTAGGGATGTGACAGCAGGGAGTGGAGACTGAGTAATGCGCCTCCACTTGTATGAAAAAATGTAAAGCTACATATTAAATAGTTTTCTCTGTACGGCCTCAAGTGTTTGTCATGTTCTGACCATGAAAAAAAGTTTAAAACCACCATTACCATCTGCCTTTAAATTGGAAAGAAAGAATGGTTTGACTTTTTTGGTGTTAATTATTGAGATCGAATGAAGTGACATTTTTTACCACAACATTTTTGGCCATATCGCCCAGCTCTAGTGTTGGGTGGAGGGTAAACATGGAAAAGGAGCGTTAAATAAAGATGCTTATGTTGATTTCAGCTCGTAGTGTTTGTATGAGGGTGTTTCTATGTGGATCTGGAAGTACAGTACCTATGATTGCTTTCCACATTTTATTGTGTGTCATGTAATGGGGGGCACTGGTCTTGGTCTTGACTTGGTCTCTGTTTGGGCGCTCTTGACTACAACAATTCTCTGAGGTAAAAGTTGAAATCATAGCAGAGAGTCTTCTCCACCAGGTGTCCTCAGCAGACTAGCTGACAGTATGAGCCCCATTTAAGCTCTTACTTACTTGTGTATTGGGACACAGTGGTACTCTGTCCGTACGTACTGCCATCACCTGCCACTGCAGTGACAGTTATATTATACTGAACACCAGCAGTCAGGTTAGTTATGGTTGTAGATGTTCCAGTAGTCACATTTACTGTCTCAGTTACACTGCCATTAGTCCATTGTACTCTATAGAAAGAGCTTATTCCCTCTGGTTTAGTCCAGCTCAGAGACACAGAGGATGTTGTAAAACCAGTGACAGTGAGATTCATGACTACATCAGGCACTGTGAATTACAGAGAAGTGAACACAATGGATAAAGGTTAATAAATAACATCTTCACAATAACATTAGCCTAACTGTCCCTAGAGCCATGCTGCCAACATGACTAAAAATGACATATCAAACCCTGTCTGTCAAACCAACCCCAATGCTCCTGAAATCTGCACAACACTACGCAGATCAACCATCAACAATGTCCAGGGCTACAACCCAGATCCAGCACATAAAGTACAGCTCTGAGATAAAAGTTTAAATCATAGCAGAGAATCTTCTTCACCAGGTGTCCTCTGCAGGATAGTTGACAGTGTGAGCCCCATTTAAATGCTTACTTGTCATGGGTAGCAGAGTGCAGACTGAGGTGTGGACCCAAATGCAGACAGAGGCGAGGAGAATGCTGTTTAAATATTTATTAAAGTGAAACTGAAACAGGCTTACATGGAGCTCAAGGTAAGTGTGAAAACAAAAGGTAATCCACAGAGAATTCAAGAAGCACTGACAGAGATATCTAAAACAAGGGAATAATTGCACGAGCGCGTCCTGGTTAGCCTGCCTCCAGTGGTTGCTGGCAGGCCAGTTGTGGAAACTCCCCTGGAGGGGGATACCCTCTCTCAGGTGGGAGGTGTGATCAGGAGCTATGCGCTTCTAAGCCAGCCCCTGTGGCTCTGGCCGCTGAAAGGTGGTGCCTGGAGGGTCTAGGTCTCTCCCGTGAGGTGGTGTGCACCATCCAAGGGTCAGGAGCTGCCTCTACTCAGTCTTCTTACTTCTCTAAATGGTTGCTGTTACAGTACTGGTGTTTGGACCAGGGGTTGAACCCAGTGGCCTGTCCGCTTTCGTTCCTGCAGCTGCTCGTGGACAGAGGTCTGGCGTTCAGCACGGTCACGAAGGGTTCAATGACTGGACAGTGTTCTCTCACCCGCTGGTGAAGCGTGTCCTGAAAGTGGTGCTGGTTTTCCGCACGCTAACCTTGTGGAGACGGCGGACGAGTGGGGGCTTGGGGGATGCTGGAAGTACTGAAAAAACTAATGGGAGCCAATAGATGGTCTCACCAGTTGTATATACCTTGGTTCTCACACTATTAGGGTATATACAAGATACGGATGTAGGAGAAGGCCAAGCTGTGGGTGGGCATAGACAACTTTTCTCAGTGCCGCAGGCACGCGAAGGGGTAAACCCAATAGCGAAAGCCTTAGAATGCTGCTCCTATACTCGTAGAATCTGGAGTTACAGTACGTAATTATCGTAGTAAATGTAAATGTAAATGCTCCGTACTTGTATAGCGCCTTTCTAGTCTTTTCGACCACTCAAAGCGCTTTTACACTACATCTGCATTCACCAGTCACACACATTCATACACTGAGCCTAAGTGCTCAAACGGAAACTAACATTCACACACATTCATACACTGGCGGAACAGCCGCCAGGGGCAAATCGGGGTTCAGTATCTTGCCCAAGGACACTTCGACACGCAACCAGGGGGAGCCAGGACCGCCGACCTTCCGATTAACGGCCAACCCGCTCTACCTCCTGAGCCACAGCCGCCCCTTAATAGTATTAAACAGAACAATAGCAGTTAGGTTAGTAATGTTAATAGGTGTTTCAGTCACATTTACAGTCTCAGTTACACTGGCATTCGTCCACTGTACTCTATAGAAAGAGCTCTTTCCCTCTGGTTCAGTCCAGCTCAGAGACAGAGTGTCACACTCTGCATGTCTGTCTCCGTTTTCCCCTACACTCTCTCTCTCTCTCTCCCTACCTGTGCCTCGTTAGCCTCATGTCTTTCACCTGTGTTGCTCCCGCCCTGCTCATTAGTCCCTGTGTATATATACCTTGTGTTTCTGTCTTGTCTTGGTCGGGTCATTGTTTATTGTCACCCAGTGTTGCAGTTTGTTCTCGTGTCTTCAGCCTTACTCGCCGTGTCTCCCTGTTACCCTACTCATTTTTGGATTCTGGTTTTCACCCTTTTGGATTTCTGTTGGACAGCCTTTGCTTTTGGACTCAGTCAATCAGCCACTCTGTTTGTAAGTGTGCTCGTCTTTTGTTTGCTTATTAAAACCCTTGTGAACTGTTCCTGCTGGCTTTTGGGTCCTGCATTTGGGTCCTCCAACCTACTACCTGCTTCACCCATACCAAACCCTGACACAGAGGATGTTATAAAACCAGTGACAGTGAGATTCCTGACTACATGAAGCTCTGTGAGTGACAAAGAAGTGAACGCAATGGAGAAATAATAAGAAACAATATCATCAAAATAACATTAGACAAACATTACCATCCCTAGAGCAATGCTGCGAACGTGACAAAAAAAAAGACATATCAAACCCTGTCTGTCAATCCAAAATGAATGCTCCTGAAATCTGCACAACACTAAGCAGATCAACCATCAACAATGTACAGAGATACTACCCGGATCCAGCACATACAGTACTCTGAGGTAAAAGTTGAAATCATAGCAGAAAGTCTTTTCCACCAGGTTTCCTTAGCAGGATAGCTGACAGTATGAGCCCCATTCAAATGCTTACTTACTTGTGTATTGGGAAAGAGTGGTAGTCTCTCCGTACGTACTGCCATCACGTGTCACTCCAGTGACATTTAGATTATGCTGAACACCAGCAGTAAGGTTAGTTATGGTTGTAGATGTTTCTGTCACATTTACAGTCTCAGTTACACTGCCATTAGTCCACTGTACTTTATAGAAAGAGCTCGTTCCCTCTGGTTCAGTCGAGCTCAGAGTCACAGAGGATGTTGTAAAACCAGTGACAGTGAGATTCATGACTACATCAGGCTCTGTGAGCGACAAAGAGGTGAACATAATGGACATAAGATTAAAAATAACATCATCGCAATAACATGAGACCAAGATTGCTATCCCTAGAGCCATGCTGCTAACATGACTAACAAAGACATATCAAACCCTGTCTGTCACATCAACACAGATGCTCCTGAAATCTGCACAACACCAAGAAGATGTGCCATCAACAATGTCCAGAGCTACAACCCAGATCCAGCACATACAGTACAGCTCTGAGCTAAAAGATGAAATCATAGCAGAGAGTCTTCTCCACCAGGTGTCCTCAGCAGGATAGCTGACAGTGTGAGCCCCATTTGAACTCTTACTTACTTGTGTATTGGGAAAGAGTGGTAGTCTGTCCGTCAGTAAGACCATCACCTGTCACTGCAGTGACAGTTACATTATGCTGAACACCAGCAGTCAGGTTAGTTATGGTTGTAGATGTTTCAGTCACATTTACAGTCTCAGTTACACTGCCATTAGTCCACTGTACTATATAGAAAGAGCTCGTTCCCTCTGGTTCAGTCGAGCTCAGAGACACAGAGGATGTTGTAAAACCAGTGACAGTGAGATTCATGACTACTTCAGGCTCTGTGAGTGACAGAGAAGTCGTTAATAAGAATTAATATTTTCTGCTCCGAACCACTCATCATTAGTATAATCTTTGTATTTGAGATGTGGTTTATTCATACTGAGACCTGTTTTGTTTGTAATCATACAAACTACAATCAATGCAGCAATGCTGTAGGTACTATATTGTATAAAGTCATTTGTTGTAGGTCTTGGATATAAGTGATTCAACAAAGTAAACAGACTTACTTGTTGTGGTATTTGTGCAGCAGTTGGAACAATTAATGAAGATTTGATAGACTGTTCCAGGAATCAAACCAGTTATCGAACCGTTTCCAGAGATATTGTTCCCAATGGATAAGTTGCAGTTTGGATCATTTCCATAAGTTATACTTGTTGTTGTTGTTGTTAAGTTTTCTGTCTGAGTGCTGTCACATTGACCTAAAAGATAGAAGAACAGGAAGACAAACAAGACCAATAGAAGAAATAAGCACAAAGGTTATAAAAAGAAGGAAATATTTTTGCAAAAAAACATTTTGTAATAATATTACAGATCTGACAGGAGCAATGTAATTAACAAGCCTATATTTAACAAAAAATACGGCATTGTGTGAGAACCTATATTTCTTTAACTATATAGAGACAAATTAACCAGAATATAGTACATAAAATAAAACAAAGAAACAGCACAACAGTGTACTTACTGATACATTGTGATTGGGAGATCTGTAGAGACGAGGACAGAGAAAAGTAAAGTAAATAATGTTGCACCAGTAGAGGTCAGCACTGAGTTTAAAACAGTTTCAGAGCATCAACTAGATTCAAACACCTGTTTAGTGTCACAGGGCATCAGTCAATTTAGCAAAAACTGTTAAATTTGTAACTTTTCCCTGTTTCACAGCAGGCTTTTGTAACCCTGGGTCAAGATGCAGGCACAGATATTGATATCCAGCCCTAGTTCTTTATTAATTCAGCCATCCATCCATCGTCAACCGCTTATCCTGTGTACAGGGTCGTGGGGGTCTGGAGCCAATCCCAGCTGACATTGGGCAAAAGGCAAGGCCACACACAGACAGACAACCACTCACACTCACATCCACACGTAAGGACAACTTTGGAGACACCAGTTAACCTAGCCTGCATGTCTTTGGAGGGTGGGAGGAAAGAAAACCCAGAGAGAACCCATGCGGAGGACATGCAAACTCCACACAGAAAGGCCGGGGCAATCGTGGTTTGAACCCACAACTTTCTTGCTGTTAGACAACTGCGCTAACCACTGCGCCGGCCTCTTTATTAATTAATTTTGTTTAAAATGCAGTCAAACATAAGTATCGCAACTCTAAACATACTGGAATCAGTCTGTAAAAAAAATTTGTTTTTATTTAGAAAATCCAAACTTCTATATTTAGAAACTTCATATATTTAGAAACAGAAGAGAAAACTAAACTTTCATCAAGACACTTTCATCAAAACTACTACTAGTATTATGGGATAACGTCCCACTGTTACTGATGAAAAGTGTTTGACTGCCAGTGCAAGGAATTAGAATAATAATAATACCTGATGGTCAGGTATTACCATACCATTATCATAATTATATGGCCTCAGGTAATGTTATGTGGCCTCAGGTAAAAACGATTCTTCCTCTTTGTAGGATCAAAGACTAACGATTCTTCCTCCTTGTCCACAGCAAAGACTAATATCACACACTCACCCATGTATCCACACAACTCTAACTCTATATTTCTACTGTGGTTTTCACCTGTATCCTGGTATCACACCTCTGATTCCACATTACTTATTAGCCAAAACTTAAACAGCCCAGAGTCACTTATTGACATGTTGCCTTTCAGTCTGTTGACCACAAAGCTAAAAATTAAACGCATGACATCATTGCTCAAAACTGCATCATGCTCACAGATAGGGTCAATCATTAACTCCGAATAATGACAGAATAGACTTAACCGCAGTCCTGCATCACACATAATCAAATCAGATTGTACTTTCAAATAAAATGCTATATTCAAGGTTGGGCTGGATAGGACGCAGTGAATATTATAGGGCAAAAGCAGTACTTGCTCGCTCTGAGTATCTCGGAGGGTATGAAGAAGAGAAGATCAATCCTGACTTGAATCCAGCTGAGCTGAGTCACAGTCACTTAACTAAAACTGTATTAATGCAATACACTTCAACAGTACCACAAAGTAGATTGACTAATAATTTTGTGAAAAATGTCCAGAGCCCAAGGTGACCTCCAATTTGGTCTAACCAACAGTCCAAATCCCCAAAGATATTCAGTTTTCAACGTTATAAAACAGAAAAGCAGCAAATCTTTACAATGAAGAAGCTGAAATGTTTGGTATTTTGCTGAATGAATAATTTTAATGATCAATCAGTTATTTTTCTGAAAATCAACTAATTTACTATCAATTTCAGCTCTCATTACAACTATCATGAAAATAGGTTTTATTACACATTGTTGTCATATTTAACATGTTTTTAAAAAAACAAATTATTGCGACTTTGTTAGGATGTGAAATATTTTACAGAATGATTAGATATACCAACTGTTTTAAGCAGTTTTCACAATTATTCTAGTTCTGCATTAATATTATGTAGTAAAAAATTCTGATTTGTTTTTTATTTCCAATGCAACAGACTGAGAGACAAATTCCGCAGCTTAGCTTGTCTCCCTCCTATTGTGTTAGACTGCAATTGTTTTAGCTGCGTGTACCTAATTAAACTATACTAAACAAGGCAACAATTGGTCTTTCATGACTGAGTATTATGTAGTGATGTGCAAACAATCTGTTTAGTTCTTACATTCAGAATTATGATTACATTGTAAATCTTGTTCAAAATACTTTGATACTTTTATACTTTTGTACAGTTTTTTCAATTGCTAAGAAGCCTAAACTTAAGATACCACCTTTTGTTCTTTAAACACCAACTCTACATTTCAAAATGCAAAGAAACATTCTCTACTTACACAAACTATATCAAAACACAGCAAACCTGACCCAAAATCAAATCATTCTGTCAAAACACTAGCAAGTTTTCTTTCCAAGAGGACCACATCAATCAATCATAGCACAATTGCTTTCTAAGTACTAACAGTTGATGGCATTACAAAAACTGCATTACTTTTCATGTTTCAGCTCTACCTGCATACAGCAGCCAATGTGAAATCCATTGTTTTTTGTAATTCAGTTTCCTTTTCTGTAAACCACACTACATTTTTAGCTTGAAGGGTCGAATGTGTGTGTTTTTGGCAACAAACTATGTAAAAGTGAATGAGTCATTTTACTTTAAAAAATGTAGATTAGGAAAAAATCTAAGTGACAGAATTACAGAAGTAAAACCTTTATTAGCAACATGAAATTGCAGCCAGTGATCAACAAATAATTCAACCTATGTGGCTTTCGGTTCAAAATCACCGCTTCAGCGCTCGGTATGCGCTAGCCGCCGGCAGGCCCTCGCCGAACTGTCCGCCCCGAGGGGCAGCAGCCGGAACACGACTGGGCTCACAAACCGTGGTTCAGCGGCGAGCCTTCCCTGGCGGTCCTCCGCTTCAGGGCGCCACCGGGGATTCCCGCGGGACACCGGCCACCAGCCGCGGGGGTGTGGTCCCCTTGGCGAAGTTCGCGGAAGCTTGGCGAAGCCTCGCGAACATTTCCCCGTGGTGGCTAAAATCCAAGGGATTCTCCACTAGGGGAAATCCGCTCCGTCTGATACGGGTTACGAGCGGATGCCTTCGTTCCCTGTCTGTATGGAGGAAATCTTGGTTCCTGTCCCAAGGTCCTGTGTTGGGAGCAAAACAATTATTTCAACAGACGCCTCACTCACGGGATGGATGACCGCTTCGCGAGAGGCTCCTGGGAGGAGCATCATTTCTCTTGGCACATAAATTGCCTGGAAATGTTGGCGGTTTTCAGAGCTCTGAGAGTTTTCTGCCCGCTCTCCGCGGTCGCCACGTCCTTGTCAGGACCAACAATACGGCGGTGGTGGCCTATTGAATCACCAGGGGGGTCTGCGCTCACGCCCATTATGCAAACTGGCACATCGGATCCTCCTGTGGTCCCAGGAGAGACAGCTGTCCCTCAGAGCGATGTACATCCCTTGGACCCAGAATCAAGGAGCAGACCTGCTGTCGAGACAGGGGTTGAGGCCCGGGGAATGGAGACTCCAACCCGAGGTGGTGGAGTTATTATGCGAAGAATTCAGCCCCATAGACATGGACTTGTTTGCGTCCCGAGAGACGGCACACTGTCCCCTGTGGTTCTCCCTATCACCCCCAGCCCTGCTAGGGCTGGATGCCATGGTACAGACGTGGCCGAGGCTGCGTCTGTATGCGTTTCCCCTAGTCGCTCTGCTCCCGGGGAGTGGATCCGCCAGGACGGTGTCAGCCTACTACTAGTAGCCCCGTTTTGGCCGGCACGAGTATGGTTCTCGGATTTAATATCGCTCCTCAAGGGCCCGCCCTGGCAGGTCCCTCTGAGGAGAGACCTGCTGTCCAGGCGGAGTGCCGGATCTTTCACCCGTGCAAGATGAACCGGCGGTGGACCCAGTTACCTGCTCGGTAATTGTGATACTGGAGTTCCTCCAGCACCGTTCTCCGCTGGCCTCTCCCCGTCCACGCTCAAAGTATGTGGCTGCCATTGCTGCATTCCACGCCCCTCTGAGTCCAAGGTCAAGAATGAACTCTAGACCTCCACAACAGATACGTTTTAGGTATATTCAGTAAGGTATTTAAAGTTGTGTGGTGAAAGACACAGTGTTACATGGCATAGTTTGAACTTCAGATCTTGAAACCAGATAGAAAACTGCTTGCTCAACCGCTCCAGAAAAATATTATAAAGGTCACATACCAGTACGTGAAAGCTGGGTCTTAATATGATGCCAATCTCAGTTTTCATACAAATATTCATGTCAAGCTGACCTCTAGGGATGTGACTCTCTCTGAGCTATGACTCTAAATTGTTTTATTTCCCTTGGCACCCTTCCTAAGTATCACTTATTTTCTCCTGACTAAACAACAAACGACGTCTCAAGCCATTAAGGCACTCAGAGAGGAGAAATAATCCAAGCGCAAAGTCCCGTTGGGAAATACTGCCCTAGAAATACTGAAGTTCACATAATAGACGTCTATTTTTTTGCGCATCCACTGGGACTCAGCTCCACCCATCTGCACATCCTCCCTCCCTAATTTAACCCTCTCTCTTACCTTATAGGATCACTTGGATTATTGGGCAATTCATTGTGGTTGCTTTTCTTTGTACCTGATATGTGTTTAATATGTGTTCCAAGAAGATGGTACTTGTGTTTACTGAAGCCACTAAAAGAAAAAGAGTACAATATTTTTCTGGTTGCTAGTACAAAGCCCCACAGTTATCTCAAGAACTACACAGTTACAACAGAAGCTCTCCAGTGTTACTGCTTGCAACCATCAGACTTTCACTTGAGGAGCAATATTTACTGCTCATTGTGAAAGATACTTGGCTGGGAATCCCACGCCAATGACCCCTTTGCCCTGTGTACTGTATCGCCCTTTGACTCGGCCTGTCTGCAGGAGGAGGAGGAAATGGCTGTACTGACCACTATATAAACATTACATCAACCCTTAAGGCAGCCCGCCTGCCACTCTCTGATTCCCTTTCATTCCTAACAGACTGCCATTGCTGCTTGGCTCCCGATAACGCCCCAGTTCCTCCTCCATAGTAACACTC